AATCTTCCCCTCCAGCAGCAGCAGGTACTGTCTTTGCATGCCGGAGCATTGCCATGATAACCTGCGGCAATGCTCTCTCAGTTCGCGAGAGGAGAAGACAGTGCCTGCTGCTGCTGGGGGGAAGATTGCACTCCTGGGCATGCTTCTTCACTCTACACTGTGCCACCGGACCACCTGAGAATCAAGTATCCTAGCTCCCTGCCCACAACTAAGAGGCAGGGAAAGAGGAATAAACATAGTTTTAAATAAAATAAAAAATACACCTGCTCAACACTACATGCACCACACACACACACAATTCATTCAGTACACACACTGCATACAATACACACACAGGCACTGCAATCACTACAAACACACATTGCATCCACTACACAAACACAGAAGACATTGAATCCACTACACACACTGCATCCACTACACAAACACATACACTGCATCCACTACACGCACACACTGCATTCACTACACAAACACACAATGCATTCACTACACAAACACACACACTACATTCACTACACAGACACACTGCATCCATTACACAAACACAGACACTGTATAACATAATAGATGATGGATGTGGGCATGGTTTTGGTGGGGGTGGGGGGCAGTATTTCATCCTTGGACATCCATTGCTTCCTTGAACCATAAAGAACCATATTGTTTGGCGTGTCACTTTAACTATAACTCACAACATGTAATACAAATTGAAAGGTCACTTTTGTCTTAAGGATATTGTTTGAAGGTATGGTTGGCATTAACATGTTTTATTATGACCTTTAGAAATAGATCAAGAAACACGTGTTTTAATTACACAAACTGACTTAAACTTACTGAAATATAAGCACACATTGATATCAGTTGCTGTGAAACTCTGTGATACACTCACACATACCATGCAAGGTTATTACGGTGGATCTGGGATACATCCATACACATCACATTACCAACTTTCACACATTGATATTAGTTGCTGTGAAGCTCTGTGATACACTCACACATTCCATGCAAGGTTATTACGGTGGATCTGGGATACATTTATACACATCACATTACCAACTTTCACAAATTGATATCAGTTGCTGTGAAGCTCTGTGATACACTCACACATTCCATGCAAGGTTATTACGGTGGATCTGGGATACATTTATACACATCACATTACCAACTTTCACAAATTGATATCAGTTGCTGTGAAGCTCTGTGATACACTCACACATACCATGCAAGGTTATTACGGTGGATCTGTGATACATTCATACACATCACATTACCAACTTTCACAAATTGATATCAGTTGCTGTGAAGCTCTGTGATACACTCACATTCCATGCCAGGTTATTACGGTGGATCTGTGATACATTCATACACATCACATTACCAACTTTCACAAATTGATATCAGTTGCTGTGAAGCTCTGTGATACACTCACACATTCCATGCAAGGTTATTACGGTGGATCTGGGATACATTTATACACATCACATTACCAACTTTCACAAATTGATATCAGTTGCTGTGAAGCTCTGTGATACACTCACACATTCCATGTAAGGTTATTAAGGTGGATCTTGGATACATTCATACACATCACATTACCAACTTTCACACATTGATATTCGTTGCTGTGAAGCTCTGTGATACACTCACACATTCCATGTAAGGTTATTAAGGTGGATCTTGGATACATTCATACACATCACATTACCAACTTTCACACATTGATATTCGTTGCTGTGAAGCTGTGTGATACACTCACACATTCCATGCAAGGTTATTACGGTGGATCTGTGATACATTCATACACATCACATTACCAACTTTCACACATTGATATTCGTTGCTGTGAAGCTCTGTGATACACTCACACATTCCATGCAAGGTTATTACGGTGGATCTGTGATACATTCATACACATCACGTTACCAACTTTCACACATTGATATTCGTTGCTGTGAAGCTCTGTTATACACTCACACATACCATGTAAGGTTATTACGGTGGATGTGGAATACATTCATACACATCACATTACCAACTTTCACACATTGATATTAGTTCCTGTTAAGCTCTGTTATACACTCACACATACCATTCAAGGTTATTACGGTGGATCTGTGATACATTCATACACATCACGTTACCAACTTTCACACATTGATATTCGTTGCTGTGAAGCTCTGTGATACACTCACACATACCATGTAAGGTTATTACGGTGGATCTGGGATACATTCATACACATCACGTTACCAACTTTCACACATTGATATTCGTTGCTGTGAAGCTCTGTGATACACTCACACATACCATTCAAGGTTATTACGGTGGATCTGGGATACATTCATACACATCACATTACCAACTTTCTGTAAACTTTGATGCTGCGTATCTCTGTAATACACTCACACACAGTGCATATCACATTGATATTACTGCTTTGAAGCTCTGTGAAACATTCACATCACATTTTTTCACTACAAGATAAACATCTATTGGGATCCTGTAACATAGTGGTGGGCTTAACACAATATGACCACTCAGTGTAACGAAGTCCCCATATTTGTTTGCTAAACAGTTTAAGTAGGCTTGTAAGATTTAAACCTGTATTTTATGTGCGTGCACCATTCCTTATTCTGTATTTTATACAGGATGTATTACATGCAGTTTGATGGAGTTTCTGAAGTATTATGTAATATGTATTAAATTGTATTAAATAAACATATTAAAACCACTTGCAGGTGGGTGTTAGCCCCTCCCCAAACTAGCTTTAACTGCCTATTGGACAAGCGTGGCAAATGTCTGGTTGGTTAGCACCCATTACAGGCCTCTGTGATGTCATTTACAGCAAAAATAGGAGAACACAATTACATAATGTCATGTACTCTACACATTTTAACTGTACATGTAGTAAATGATGACATGAGTGGAGCTGGAACACGTATGACATTGCTAATATGATATGCACACACCAGGGCTAAACCAATGGCCGACTCTCCAGCAGGCATGTTACTGCCCCCGTTCCACTCATCGAAGGCCACTGATACACCAATATATGGCTCAGTGGTGCACAGGGTTAATTGTCTGAATATATATTAATAAAGGAAACTTTTTAAAACATGCCGCAGAGGCTCCAAGTATGGCTGATAACGATCAGCCCTCTGGGGCATTGATACATTAGGTGTGTAGGATCCGTGATTACAATTATTTGTGTGGCTCAGTTCACTTATTGGTTGGGAAAACCATTTTCTGTCGAGCATGCTCACTTACGGAATCCCCCGATCTCATGGAAAGATAATTATCTCTGGTCCAATAAACCCTCTATATTCCCAGATATGGATGTAATGCTGTCAGGATTACAGGCACCATGGGCTTCATTTGATACTTCCTGAGTTAGCACCCCCACCTCCCACTGCAGTGCCATAAAGTAGAGATCTCTGGGAAAGAAGAGTGTTACAAAATGTTGCATAATATATCAAATTCCTAACGCTGACTTTATTTTAGATGGAAGCTGCTGAAGGCATTGCAACTGACTTTGTGCCTCTTTGATTACTTACCAACCAACCTCCACAGTGCCACTAGCATCTGTGCCAGCTGGTATCTTGGCAATCCGCACTTTCCCAGCCATGCAGATCCATCTCCTGAACGGTTAAAGGAACTGTGGTGCATAAAAAGAAGCATTTACAAGACTTTAACAGTTTTAAACAGACAAGAATAAAAAAGGTTTGTACAGCCAGTTATATGAAATGAGGCTGAAACTGATCTTGTCTTGCATCATAACTAGAATTTCCCATAATACCCTGGGGGCAGTTTGTTGGCCTCATGGTGGCAGTAACATCATTACATCCAGTGGAACAGAAAGAAACAGTTTGAGCACATAACCCAAGCAAGGTTAAGCTATTTGTTAAATATTCTTTTAGCGGATATTGCGGAGGGGGGGTTCACCCACATGACGGGGATTCTAGGGAATGGAAATGCTGTTTAAAAAATTAATGAGTTGTGAAATCTATTATGTGTTTATTAATGGTAAGAGGGACATAGTGGAAAGTATGTTAAGGAAACCAGAATAATTGCAATAATTTCCAGGGAAACAGAACATGGCAGCCTTTTTTTGGGAAGACTAAGATTGAAAACACGTTAATAGACAAGAAATGGCAGATGTGGTCAACTGGTTAGCTGGCCCTCTGTGTTATGAAGACAATCATTAGAACATCTCCTTGTACATAAAGAGTTAATATCAGTAAGATCATGGATTTTATTATTGTCAAGTTACACGTTTTTATCATATCAACTTCCGGGACTAAAATATACACAGTATACCGGCCAAAAACTTGGTCGAGACAGCTGATGAAAGACTTGTGCCTCAAAACTCTCATTCATCAAAACTGTATTCAATAAAATCTGTTTGAAGCCAACTTAAATGTTAGATTGTATGCAAATATCCTTTCATAAGAAGGCAGTAATACAACTACAGATACTGTAGATATTAACTGTTACATATTGTAATGTATAGTATGTGCAAGGCCTTATCATGTATTCCTGAAAGTCAATTGTCACATCTGTGGTCTAAACAGCGCCCTCCACAGGGCAGTAATAGAACACACAGTTATCATGAATACATATCGTTTTAAATCAATTTAGATAATGCAGTCTCCTTCAATTCCATCATCAGCAGTTATAAAGAGGATTTCTTTAACTGAAATGTAGTAACACAGTACCTTTTAAAGTGCAGGACTGTCTACATATTCTAAGTCGTAAAGTAAACACTGTATTAAGTATCCACTAAACCACCAACATCATGACTCAATGACCAGGAGAGGAGGTAAAATATTTTTTCGGACGCGTTAACAAGGTTCCGAGTTGTCCAACCGGGGTGTTTTAAATTCCATATTTTTGTTTTACTATCCTGGGTAAGTTTCTCACATCGGAAATATATCCAGTAAATATATAATCGATCCAAAACCAAACCATGAAGAATCCAGTTTGCCATCCACCAATGTTTACTGTAAATCCACCGAAAAATCCACGAAAGCCAAAACGGGCATTCTCCTTTCAGACGGTCCTAAAAAAAACACAAAGAGAGAAAAATACATTAAAATTTCTGCCACAAAGTGGTCATATTAGAAAAAGAAACCGCATATCATTTTATAACTTCAATAAGCATTTAAACATCCCAGTCTGTATGTAGAACATGTGTAGTTAATCACTCCATTTTTTGGAGACTACATTTCCCAATATGCCCTGCTAGACACAACATCTGCAATGGTACACAATGCCTAACGAGGGATGTCAGATACACCATGTTATCATTTCTACATACTTGAACACGAGATAACGTGGAATCGCAAAGGAGCTGATTTGATTAATTCACTGAGTTCACACTCACAGTATTTGACTGCTACATACTACAAGGCAGGACCTTTCATGCGCTGCTCATGAGCACATGCAATATGCCCAGGAAGTAGCATATTGCGGAACACTGAGAGATTGTAATGGTAAAATAATACGATCAAACATACATTTAAAGGGACACCGTAGGCACTGTATCTGCTTCATCTCATTAAACTGGTTATAGTGTCTGGAGTCCTCTGGTACCATCATTTCTTTCAGCATTAAACAGTTTTTAAGCTTTAAATGTGTTAATGCTAAACAAGAGTCTCCGGCAATCCACCCCCTCTGTGCTGCTTTGGCTAATAAGGAAGTATTAGCTTGAGCAGCAATAGGCAGCTGTGATTGGCTGAGAGTGTCAGCTGACTGCTTTTAGCCTATCAGAGTTCCAACTGACGGTATGAATGGGTATGACAACAAGGAAGTGTGTAATCTCTGCCTTAGCTACACATACTGAAGGGGCCGGACTGTAGGTGGCCAGGGACTCTTATTTTGTGGCCTACTGCACGAACATGGTGCAACACTGAATGGAGGGACAGTGCCAGGGCACTCCAGGCACTATAACCAATTCAAAGAGATGAAATGCTTATAGTGACTACAGTGCCCCTTTAAGGCTCGTTATAGTGATCAGTGCTAACACACGGCACTGTATTTATATCTGTTCTAGAACTGAGTGCCACCATCTTGGCTCTGTCATAGCTCTAAACTCTAACCCTAACCTGTCATTTAAAATAAAAAAATAAAAAAAGACTATCTCAGTTATTCAATAAACTCCAAGTTTTCAAAAATTAAATCAAAATGTCAAAACCGAAGCAACAATATCCAGGGTGTTACTTTGGCTGAAATGGAGAGTTGATTTTTTTTTTTAGATTAGCTATTTTTTACCTGGATTTTATTTGGGAATATTCAGAATTTAGTAAATAACCCTATTTGTATCTCACTGCTGAAATGCAGATACAGAAACAGTGCTTCTATGTAAATGTGTGCCTTGGCCATGCCAGGACCGAACTATATTGTTAATCTAGTGATTGTTAATTGCTGAATCTTTATATTTAGGAGCAAATTGAGTGCCAAACAGAATAAAACGGCTAACACGACCTATAGGTGATTTCCAATGTTTTATTCAGTGGTTTAATTTCAGAGAAGTGACAGCCTCATTTAATTTGCAAATTATCTAGGATCTCTTACTCAAATAAAGAGAAAAGTCAAACACGGTTCAGAAATGTTTAATCCTTGGGTAAGAAGTAAGTGGTGGAAAGGTCGGGGCGATGAGTTAATACATGCAGAATATCACTTCTGATTAACAGCAGAAACAATAAAGTTTGGTCCTTATTTGATGTCTGGGAGCCCATGAAAGTTGGGAACGGCTTAACATGTTAATTATAGATCAAATGTTTGCTTCTAGTTAATATTACCGCACACTGTATTTAAAGGGATATTCATCAGCAAACCATCCTCTGTCACTGGGTTAGGAGCCGTTTGGCCTTTGGTTGTGTTAAGGGCAAACATCCAATGTAAAGCTTCCTTAGAGAACTAAAATCTGTTTCGGGAAATCACTATATAAGGAAAAGAAATATGAGACTTGAAGAAAAAGCTGCTTTGCAGGCTGGGATGCTCGGACTGCACATGATGAGCAGACTTTCAATACAGAATAATATGTTCACATTATCAATTACCTACACATGCCAAAGATGTATTTGTCATTACAGCTGGATAGTTTGTCCCTCCCTTGTTGTGGGTGTGGCTACATCTATAGCCTAATGAACGTTGTAACCAGATGGAGGGGTGTAACATGCTATGAACATTTGTGCTGTTACAATGTTACCTCTATGTATTTGATTGCTACAATGTAGTGGTTACCATAGAGAGGTAGTTACACGTTGCTGAGGTGGTATTATGCTAAAAGGGTTACCAGCTACATAAATAACTCACTTCATATTAAATGGCGACACATGAGGAGCCGTATGCAAAATTAATACAATTATTCTTCGAGTTCTACATTATTTAAATATAAGTGACCTGTGTCCAGGAAACCATGGCAAGGCTAAAAGCCCTTTATATTTATTTTTACAACTAAACCCTGTCTGAACATCATGGGAGTGTAACACACAAACATTAAGGGACAATCCACTAATAATGAATGGGGGCACTGCAAAAATTCATGTCAATTAGCAATTTCTTTGTTTATTCCAATTCTTGGTATTGTTCTAACAGCTACGTTTCTGGGAAATATTATTACAGTCATTTATAAAGCGCCAACATATTCTGCAGCGCTGTACATTTGAGGAAAGAGGGCCCAGCCCTTGAGTGAGATCTAGCCATTAAATCTCTTTTATACTAAGTATTTAGGATAGATAACCCATGAGCTTACTATCTAAAGGTTCAAACCGGGAGTTGAGAGGTAGCAGAGATGATTTAAATAAAAGCTTGCACTGTATATATAGCACTGTATTAGACAGGCACTGCATGGCACTCAGAGGGTTAAAGAAGAGGGCTCAGTCCTCCAGCTTAGATATACATGTCTATTGTTTAGTTTGCATGACTTCAGCCTAAGCAAAGATTAAGACTTGTTACAGGAAGCATACTGTAAGCACAATTCCCTGTCTAATGAGCCTGGAATTAGTGAGTCAGCAAGGCAAGCATTTATACACCTCATATAACAATAGCATAGAAACAAAAAAAAAAAAAAGGATAATCGCACATAGTACCAGCCGTTCGGATGCATCTTTTTATATCCGCAGATACTCAGAGCAAACCACTGGGGCTCGTATACATCATCACTTGTAATGTTTATTTTTATAGCTCGGTCCTTTAATATCTCCCTGACCTACAGTACAAATGTCAGCATTATTTCCTGAACATCTGCTGGGCACATCATTTTAGCCGGATCTCTAAGAATGGGGTTGTTGTCAAATCCACTTTCAGTTTTGTGGGTTTTAGGCAATTCACACTTTGATGGTAACTAAAGACTTCTTCTGCTCAACTCATGGTCAATTCCAGTCAATGAAACCTTGAATTTAACAGGGTAGTAGGCTACTGCCTAGCAGCAACTTGATTCAAGAGCTACATATTCCCCACTTAGCACGTGGGCTGCTTTCATGGGCAAATGAACCAAAAAAGGGGAAAATATAGTGTCACAATGTAGATGAAAATTAATGCAAACAGAGGACAAAAACGTACCGTGTAGTTTAAAAATAGTTGCTATTAGGTTTAGATCACAGATTACATTTGCAATATTTAACATTGTATCCTAAAAGATGTCTTTATAATCCCCACAATTAAAGGAATGCTCCAGGGAGTTGGACAACTATATTTCATATTTAATTTCATGGTAAATAAATTTACTGGATTTACACGTGTAGTCAACGTTACACAGGTTTTGCACTCTATTACTGCTCTGAAGGATTTATTTAGTTTTTTTTCCTTTTAATTTTCCAGTGGATATGCTTGATCTTTTGCTGTGTTATCAGACCTCATTATCTTTCACAATTTTAATGGACAATCGTATGAGATATAATAAGTGTTTAATGGGGGGAGGCTAGAAGGGGAAACACAAGTGGGTAATGGTGGGTAATGACAGGTATGGGTGAGGGAAAGACTTTGGCCATAGAGGAGCCTCTCCCGACTACCTATGCTATTCCTTCATCTCCCCAGTCAATGTCCAATGTCCAAGCTCCTGTGCTTGGTCAGTTGAGGAGGAAACTTATCTTTCATTATGTGATAGGTTGGAAATCAATTGTTTTCTATTTGAGGAGAGGGGAGCTTAGTGTAGGACAATAACATATTTGTGGGGTGGAAAGCTACTTCCCTTTCTGCGAGCTGATTGATCAGGTCATACACCCACCTCCAAAATGGTTCTAGTATTGGGCAATCCAAAAATATGTGCAGCATGGATCCCACTTCCCCCCAGCACCTCCAGCATGGGAGGACACCCCCAGAAAGACCCTGAGAACCCTCTGAGGTGTGTTTTAACAAGTAGTTAGAATCTTATAATCGGCTTCTTAATGAGCTGAGAATGAAAACTGATATCACAGAATATGTCATTTGGACGATTGTTGTTCGGTAAATGTCATGGTCCTGACTAATTAATCTATACACAGCTATTGCTGCTGATCTTCATATAGATTCATAATCATTCTCTTCCAAGAAGGAGTAATATGCATCTTTTCCTTCCTCGGTTCCTAATGGATGAGGAAGTTTATGATGTTAGCATAGGATAATGACAAGGTTGGACAAGCCTGGCAAATCTAGTTCTTTAGGACTCAAGGTGAAGCCTATTTTCCTTATGTCTGTATGTCCCAACTGTACAGGTGAAGGAAAGGGATGTGGATTCTATGTTCTGGAATCATGCCAAAAAAAAAACATGTTGAATACCTGGAAATACAACTATTTAGCTGACATGTACAATTATGAAATGTGCGTTGTTTTTTTTTGTTTTTTTTTTAATTGGGGAGTTGACAAATTTAGCCATGAAGTAGACAGCTCCCTATCAAATTCTTAAACCAGTTAAACTTAGTTACAGTTCAACGAGAAATGAATTGCACATCTTGTTGGTATTTGTACGACTTCTTAATATATTAATGGTGAAAGTGTCCGCCTAATCTGAACAACACTGGTGCTTTACCCTTGGTGAAGATCAGGCTGATTGAAAGTTGAGGTTATAAGCAGATAAATACAGAAACAAAAAAAAGGAAATCTACTATTTATTAAACTTGTTCCAGGGCCCTATTTAACCCTATTTAATCTTGCCCTGCAGAGAGTCCCAGGAGGAAGGATTTCCCAAGTAAGTGGATCAATCTCATAAGAGCTGGCATTAGGAGCTAGAGTAGGACCTGCCAAGAATGGACTACATTGACGTTGTGGCAGGCTTATGCAATGTAAGATCATATACTGTAACTAAACTAATTATTTTTGCCTTGGTGAGGTGTTTGTAATGAAAACTATTACATTCTGTGAGCTTTGAAATTGATGTTTAGTGAATGAGTGAGTGCGCTGGATCTTGTATGATCTATTAAACTCTGTATTTAAGTCCCATTTTACTAGGTCAAAGGTTGGCGTCTGCACAAAATAGACAGAGGAGGCTTTCACGGCTTTTTGAGAGGATGCTTATATTATTCATCGCTCGCTTATACATTCATCGCTCAGAAAACAGAAATGTAATCGCATAGGCTGGAAAACCATTACTTATTTGAGAGAAAACAGAAGCCATATGTAATTCTGAAAATCAAACTTATCTCGTGCTTCACAATATATCTAACGTGCTGGAAACTTGTTCCAGGAATACAGTCAAGAAAGAGCCACAGAAAGATAGGCTATTGGAGAATTATTGCAGAAAAGTATGAGGCAAAAGTCTATGGAATTATTGAGTTTACTCCAACACGTTCTCAAGCAATGAGGAAGCTTTCCATTTTCCATAGCATTATGGTTGCAGGTGCCGAAGAGAATTTTATCAAGAAATATCTGAGGATTACATCCCGTAGTTCATAAATGTTGTTGTGGTTAGTGCAGAATTGTAAGGGCTGAGTCCTATAGAAGGGTCAAGTCAAACAGTCAAGGATGAATAGATGAGCTGATGACTGGGCACCGGTTAATCGGGCAATCACCTTGTAAATGTATCTAGTGAAGTGTCCACCCATAAAACAATCCAAGAATATACCCAAGATACAAACTCTGTTTTTTGTAACGCAGTTCCCACTTCTTCAAAGTCATAACTTGACATTCCAATCAAGATCTTCAATCCTTTTTTTATACCAAAAGAAGCCACTGTCAGAAGACACTATTGCCTCATTTCCACTGAGCGGATCGGTTCGGGTCGGTACAGTTTGGAAGGTTTAGAATGGGCCAGCCCATTCTGGTGAGCATTTCCACTGCAAGTCAGACCTTTCAGGGCCATGCGGGGTTTAGAAAAAATGCTCTTCCTGTCCAACAATCAATGGATTGTATAGTAGCTCCGCCCTAACCGAACCTTTCCATTTCCTATGGCCCTACATCTGAAGCAAGACCCTGAATGGATCGGTACGGTTCGCTTGTATGGACCACTTTCATAATGGAAACACCCAAAATAGCAAACCGAACCAATCCGCTCAGTGGAAACGAGGCATAAATGTGAACACCCAGAAGATCATCACACCATGGGGGTTGGGATTGGGAGTGTGTATTATGTCACTAAAGGTGTTGGGATCCAGTCCAGGTGGAACTGAACTTGCTTTCTATCAAGGTATTATTATTGCCATTTATATAGCGCCAACAGATTCTGTAGCGCTTTGCAATGTTATGAGAGGGGGATTTAACGATAAATAGGAACAATTACAAAAAACTTACAGGAACGATAGGTTGGAGAGGAACCTGCTCAAACGAGCTTATAGTCTATAGGAGGTGGGGTGTAAAACGTACCACAACCCAAACAAGAGGGATTTCCCAGAAATGTTTACCAGTAATACACTGTACATAAAGGGAACTAAATTCCTACACCCTTACATCAGCTAATGATACCAGCATCTCAATTCCACCATAATATTTACTACCAACTTTCAAAGCAGAGAACACCTATAAGGTAGCAATTCTTCTTTTTTTTTTTTTTTTTAATTAGGCACCAAAAGTTTATTATTGACTGTATCTGAGGTCCAACATAAAATTACGTCATTCTTATCTGTTATTTTATGTTTCAAAACTTGGTTGTCAACACACTCAGTAGTTGTTAAAACCATGAATCTTAACTTTTGAAACAATGATAGGGTGCCTCATTAAAGTGACAACTGCTGAAAATTCAAAGAGAATTTCAAATTTAACTTAAAGACTGTTCTGGAAACGTTCACACAGCCATCTATGCCTTGTATGGTTCTTCTACCTTGGCCTTAAATTTTAAATTCACCTTGAATTGAACAATTCTCACTTGAGTAAACAACCTTTAGGATTGTTTTTTTGTTTTGTTTAGTTTTGTAATTGGACTGTGACAATGTGCTGTAAGAGGAAAAGGTTTTATAATTTAGTCTCATGGAATAGGAGTAGATCTATATAATAATAGAAATCTATTATAGCATTTATGCTTTTTGTAGGTACGAATAAAGAGACATTAATATTTTAGTGTTTTTTTTTTAGACATTTCTTAGGAAAATGACTTGCGTGTCTGGGAATCCCAGCAGATATTGGAAAAAATGCGGAAAGATATTAATTGCCAGCATTCGGAGCAACACTGCATAACCCGTGTGACTAATAAAATCAATTTATTCTACATCCGCAATCTTGTCTTTAAAAAGTATCAAGAATGGGGAAGGGGCCTGACTGTGATGGCGGCTGGACGCATTTTCAGAGAGCTCCGGGCAACTCATCGATTCTAAGCCACTTACCTTTATTCCCGGTGCTCTCTCTGAGTCAGACAATGAGTTTTGCATGCCTGGTGAAAAGTGGTCAGTAGCAGTTGCAAGGTCAGTAGCAGCCATCCAGACTAAGCCCTCAACGGCCCGGAGTGAGGCCTAGCAAGCATTGCGGAGGGGAGAAGCGGCCGCTCTCCCAGCCAAGCTCAGGCAGATCTTTGCCCAAATCTCGATGGCGCCATGCAACCCTCTCCCCCCTCCCCCCCCTTTGGACCGGCGAGGGAGATCCCGGTCCCCACCCTGGAGGCCCGTTCCCTCCACCAGGACTGAGCGATCCTGCCTCAAATAGCGTTGACACCCCACATGACATACCTAACATGGCGGATGCTGCGGACCCCACGCCTGAATATGGCGGTGTGATGTCCAGAACACTGTGCTTCCTGGACAGACTTCTTGCCGACTTTTGGGGGACGCTGTCCCTCCGACAACCGGCACCTTCCCTACAAATCTCACCCAGGCAACCTCAAATGGGGCGCAGCATGAAGAAAGCACGAAAAGGGCGAAAAAGACCGGGTCGGCGGAGCACGGAGGGCAGGAAGCACAGGAGCTGGAAAGCCAAGCATGATGAAGCAGGGAGAGGAGAGCAGGGGATACTAAATAACATGGACACTGCACCGATCGTGTCTGGGTCACTGCACCTCCTAACTCACCCCAACACCTGGTTCTGTACCCTGCCCATGACGGGCATAGGCTGAATGCACAGGAGGCCGTTGGACCCCCAATCACATCACACACAGCCAGGAGAAATCACCCTTCTTTACCTAATTGAATACTATGGTTGACATATCTGTTGAACGCTTTACTTACCTGCTGACTGCATCATATGTTCAAGTATCTCCACACCAGCACCTGCTGCTAAAATCACTCAGGGTGGCATACCTCGCTTGTATATTACTCTTATGTTATAACTTACTGTATATTTACCTATCACCTATGCAGACTCTGCAATAGCCATGCTTTTATCTCTAACGCTAAACCAATGTCATTGTGTTCTGTCTAGTCGTGTACCTCCTCTTTCATGTTAAACAGAAGAGAAGAAACTTCTTGGCAAGCAATATTAATATATAAAAAATGTGCAGCACCATCCAATGCCTAACTAATGCAATAATATGTTTGAAACACTGCTTGGCATTATAAGCCTGATGTGATTTATCCATGCACAAATAAAATAAAGAATTATAAAAAAAAAAAGTATGAAGAATGTATGAGAGTAGCAGCTACAGTGCTTGATCAGTAGTTGGATAGCTTTACTCTTTCATAGTGTACACAAGGGTCTAGTACCCTTGAAAACTAAATGAAGTGAAAACTTAAAGCAATGATTCTTATAATCTATATCTGAATCCAGAAAACTGCCTAACTTCATCTAACGATGTCCAAGGCTTCAGTGAGGAGACCACAGACTGGTGCGCTCAGCCTCTCTCACTAGCTCTCCCTTTCACAAAACTGTTTAAGAAAGGTATGTACCTGACACGGACGTACAGGATGCTCTCTGGTGGGTTCCCCGCCTCCACTACTACCGACAGAGATCCGTAAGATTATGTTTAGGAACTTTTGTTAGCTCTCCTTGAAGAGTAGAATTAGCACATTGGCAGAGAGTGTCCGCTGATCATCATCAGCCAATGAGCTAAGCCCTCCATGAACCAAGACTTAGTTTAGAGAGAGAGCTTTGAGTTCTGTTGGAAGTAGTGGAGGCGGGGAGCAGCACCTGGATAACGGATTGACTACTTAAATTAAAGGGGGTGCCTAGGACACCATAACCACGTTCATTCCTTTTTTAAAAAAAGAATAATATGAAGTTTTAATCCACAATCCCACTATTCAGGCTCGCCTGTCCCAACCTGCAGTACATTCCTATGTAAATAGCTGTCCTGGATAACAACTGCAGAATGTGGACAATTAAACTACAACTCCCATAAACATCTGCCATGCCCATAATGCACTACTGTGCAGGTATTTATAGGAAAGTTTAAGCATAGTTACAGAAATGTTTTACATTGCAAGGTTAAGGGAACAGGGACCCTGCACCCAGACCATGTCAGTGACTAGAGCACATGGCAGTGGTTCTGGTGCAAACAATATCTGCCCCTCTGTTTTACATCAAACTGATTTGCCAAACAACTGGGCTCTACAGGCACATGAAACAAAGCCCGTCATTTGGCTCAGATAATTCAGACATTCCCCCAAACATTGGCGTTCCACTTCGCCAGGGTGCTGGTGAGTGGGGTAAATGGGGGCAAACAAGTAGGCTAACTCGCCAAGGGCTGGCGATGCACTGAGCACTCTTTCAGCACTCTCAGCAGGGATCTAGCGCCCTGAACATAGCGGGAGTGTGTGCTCCACTCACACTATGCTTTTTCAAGATAGTTTCCTGGTGCCCCAAAAGTGGGATACAGGGAACAAATTTAGAATGGCATGACAGAACCCTGAATTTGGGACTGTACAGACAAGATCGGGACTGTTGGGACACCCACCGCATTCATCCCTGCTTGGTCTTTGGGGATAGTGACAGTTTTTTTCATTATCTGAACAGTAGTCAAAGAGTTGGGATTAAGATGCCAGGAGGACATCTAAAAAGTCTACAATGTGTACCAGTAGTTGTGGTTCTTGCAGTGCCCTATAAGTCAGAATCATGTTTGTCTGAGTCACTTCCTAGTCTGGGCACAAAAAGAGTAACCCATAAATGATGAAGTCTCCACTATAAACGTGATCCTTAAAGAAGCTCTCTAAGCATCCCTGCAGTGGTTGTGGTGGGGTCAAACAGTTTTCAAGTAGTTTTATAAAAAGTGTGGCTCTCCTGGTTTACTTTCACATACGTTCTAGTGATTATGATGCTTCAAGCACCTCATTAATTATTTTTACATTAATATGTAACAATAGTGATGTCAGCTTGCACATCGGAATATCTGAGCCAAAACACAAACCATACAGGATTAAAGGTTGAGGATTTTTCTTAGTCTTACAAAAAAAAATTAGTAGTGCCCACCAACGAACGCTCGCTTTAATCCAATTGAATCCCCTGATCTCTCTCCACGTAATTAGCATTAAACTGGGGTTTTACAGTTCAGATAGAGGGTTTAGCAAGGAAGGAAGTTGAATAAACACATCAAATTAAAAATGAAATCATTATGAGTGTCCTTTTTATCTAGGTTTTATCAACATCAAGAACATGGGTTTAAAACATTAGAATTTAATGTTCCATTAGGATGTGCAACAAATCTCTCAGCTTCCGGGAGCTTAAAGTGTTAAATGAGAAGACAATTTATTACATGTAATTACACATTCTGAACAAAGTTAACAAATATGTTGCAAGAGCAATAATGATTACGCAATATCAAATGATGCTCATACTATGTTCCCAGCCGATGTCTTAAAGAAACATCTTTATGATTTCAATTACAAGTAAATGAAACAGAACCATTTCTGAGCCAGTAGGGGATGTCTGATACTTTAAAGATACAACAAAGTAAACAAAACATCAAAGAGTAGATGTGTCTCTAATCTGACAAGTGGATTGTATTCCCAATCTGATACATAAATCAGTTATTACATTTCCTTAGCACTATAACGGGGTTATTCGCCAAAGCGAGAATTTAAAGTGAATTTACCAAGCGATATTCTTGTCCCAAAGTACTATGTAGGTCGGCAGTAGTGAAGTGGTTAATAATATGAATAATTACAGCAGCCACGGCACAGCTTACGTTATATACTGCTAGCTGAGCTGAACTAATGGTATGTTTATCTCTTGACCTATATTACCAATAATGAGTCATGGGAAACCTCACGCAAACTGTCAGTAAGGCAAAAGGTGAATTCTTAGAAAAACCTATAGAATTTTACACATCATTTAACTTCACAACAACCAAGGATGGCCTATGCAGTTCTTTTGAGATTCAAATTGAATATTCTGAATATAAGCTAAAGGGCTACACCGAGCACAATTGCCATTTTTAGTGATTTGAAGTGCTCATGGTGCCTGGAGTCTGTATTTGCATAATTTCACTATGAAATGCTGCACATACTGAGTTTAACCCCTCTGCTGTCAGAGATGTAATGAGATTACCCATCCTGGAACAAGAACTCCGGGTGCCTAATGTGAATCACCCATCACCTCCGTGCCACCGATGTCCTCCCTTCATCCCATCTTACCTAACATTCCGACCCCTCTGGTGAGTGGGAGTAATGTCAGCAGAGGAGGTCCAGGCGGCAGACAGTTTGGCCTTGGTGCTGCAACAAAGGTAAGTTTTAGATTTATTTATTTTTATGAGGGAAGATGGAACAGGCTAGAACACTGTTTTTGGTTGGAGTAGCCCTTTAAGTGCATTCACTAGTTTTTGGCCTTGTATGCATGGTATGTTGTCTCCACATCCTTAAGGGGTTTAATGCCTGCTTCCTCCCCTGGTACCGGTTACCAAAGGGTAACAATAGCGCAATTAGAGTAGTCATGGGTACATTTGGTACCTTAAATCTTAGTGAAAACATTTATTACAATGCTATTTAGGGTGTCATGACTAGGGTACAGTAATAGGTGTTTTTTCTTAGCATTGCGATAATGACTGACAAAGCACTAGAAAGTAAAAATGTTTTGCTTTCCTCCCAAGTGTTTTCTACTTAGGATCAATACGCAAACCAGTATAACTCTTTTGGAACAAAGGGCCAAGTGTGTGTACCGGGACATTGATGGAGGTTAAGACAGATGATTAGTGCATACCTTCTAGCACGGGGTTAGTAGAGGGCAATAGTGGTACCGAGAGCATCACTGATGGGGGTGAGCTCTCCTGGGAAAGGGAAGGGTATCGCCAGAAGCAGGGACCTTGGAACAAGCCCGGGAAGCAAGGGCCCAAATTAGGGATTGTTGTGGAAAATCCAGGCAGTAGAATGCCTCCCGCAACTGCTCACCGTACATTTACCAATGCTTTACTTTAATTCATTATAAAGTTAACATATTAAAAGAAATATGCTAAGTAAAAAAATGCATAAATATATTAACAAACTGATTTTTATTTAGCAAAGTAATTAAAGCATTGCAGCCTATTTTATTGATCAAATTATTGACTATATCCCGTCAGCTTTATTGGTTGAATTACAGCCTATATTCTGACTGCTTTCTAATAGGTTGAAGTTAGGGGACTAATTTAGATGGACTTATCCATCAGATAACCTTCTTAACACAGTTTTCCTAGATTTTGCAATAGTTCTTAAAACAATAACCATTATATTAAATTGTTCTTAAATAGTGTTCTTTGTTCCAGTGTAGTGCCAGTTATTTTAGTTAAGATAAATATTCAGGTATGAATCTGCCTTCTCATTAGAAAGTAAAAATATACCAAATAAATATGTTCAGAAACAAATTCTGTTTACAGGTCATTGACAATAGGAATGCACTATATATACCTGCAAACACGCAACTCTGTATAATTCCTTAGACCACTTGTTTATACAATGTATTCCCCATTGTGTGTTCTATTCGAAGATCTAAACAGGCCGACTAAGGAGTCAACACAAACTGCTTTATTTATCTTGCCTCTGGGTGCTCTCAAACTATCTGTGCAGTACATTCACCCCATTTTCACAAAACTCATAATCTGCCATTATTTAATAAAATACATTGCTTGTGTGTTTTGTTTCACAGACAGCTCTGCATCTGTGGAATAACCAACCAGAAGATATCATGTCTTCTACAAGTTGCAATTTCCAATTCCTCAAAAGATCTCCTCTTTATCTCCAATCGAACCAGAGCTGAAACAACTGCCAATGTTAAATGGTCAGTAACAACGTGCATCTCTGCAAAGGTTACGGTACCCGGAGTATCCTGCACCCCGTCTCCCCATCCAAAAAGGCTGAGAACTGCAAATATTTGTAAAAACTCTCTGGATCTATACAAGTACTACATGGATCTCTGATGTCAAGGGAATTATTTTACTTCTGTTTTTATAGCCATACTTCTTTCAATTGACAGAACCCAAAAAGACCTCTCTCACGTCCTCTGGAGATAGCCCAAACCGAGACTGCATACGTAAATGGTCAGCTGTTTGGGGGAGCACTGACGAAGCCCAGATTACTGTTAGTTGAACAATAACAGCAGTTCCACTCATCCTACATGTTGATTTGAACCGTAGCCAAGTAAGTTAAATTACAAATACCACAAACCTCTGCTGGAAGGACTTTAAGGGATAATACAAAAATTCACAGGCCAGAATCAAGAATCATAGATTTGTAATAGATTGGGAGTCTTCCTCATCAGGGTATGCCCGTTCTGGCACGTGCTGCAGGTTTTTGAGAACTTGAAACCAGATTGTTTTATTTATTGATTGATTTTGCTAATTTTTGAATGTATGTATGCATTAAAAAAAGAGGGTCAAGTTCTGTCTGTTTAAAAATGTAACTTAAAATGTATAGCATTGTTTCAAAGTTGAAAAAGAAATTCTCATTTTTTTTTACTGGTAAAGCACTTTAATCACACGTAGATTAAATGTGGTTAGAATAATCTTTATAAAAACGGAAATCTTATCGCTGGCCGTGTCTGGAACGCGGTAGCTGTATTTTAAAGGTAATCAGATGTGAGGAGAAATAGCTGTGGCTTTCAAATTTTACTTATATTTTTGCCATAACTTCATAATTTAAGTTTGAATGCTAATTAACCTTTTGATCAACAGGAAAAACCAATTACTTCAAACCTTCATAACTTTAATACATTTCTTGACAGCGTGATCAGCGCTGGTCTGTCTCCAGACCAGCACCGTTCAACAGGCATAGCATGCAGTGTGATCGGCAGTACAGCATGCAGGAGCTGCAGCATGAGTGGGAGATCTCCCTCTCATGCTGCACTTACACAGAGTGCTCTGTATTGTGTGAGCTAGGAAATTCCTCTGCTGATGTTAGTACTGACACCAGCAGAGGGTATCTCCCTGAGTTAGGGTTACAATTACCTTTAGAGCTTAGGTTAGTGCTATGCCAGGGTTAGGTTTGGTGTAGTGTTAGTGTAGGGAAAGGGTTAATGTAAGATGATGGTTAATGCTGGCTATAATTAGAGATAATGAATGGGAAACTTGGAGATTTGTTTCACTATGAACTGGAATTCATCAAATTTGGGCTGATCGGGTGATCTTGTTAATTCCCAAACTCTGAGTCAAAGTGTAGTCGAGTTTCAAATCGCACAATGGACGAGTGTATATGATGATAAGAGATAACTAATAGGAAAAAGATAAAAGATGGTTATTGGACAGCCACTAAATGTTAATTTTATCTACAGGTCAAATGAGAAGTGACCAATAGAGAAAAAATATTGTAATTGCCCCTCCCCATTTCCGCCTTTATTGGTTATTTTTTTCTAACTTCATCAGACTGCCCTCCCTGACATTTGTCACCCACAAGCGAGCTGACGGAGAACTTGGACTTGGCACGGAGGTGAGTTTAGCTATTTCCTTTCTTTTTTTGAGCGGTGAGGGGGGAGCAGGAACACTGTTTTTCAGTTACAGTAGACCTTTAATATATATATATATTTAAACTGAAAGGGCACTTCACATTAAACATTAATGTAGCAGTCAGTTATGTATGTGTGCTGTAACGAACAAATACGGCATGTTTTTGATTTTCACGCAGCTATTAACAGCTCCCACAATGTGGTGCATTGTAATTGTTGTCAGACATCACAAAGTCATTTATATCTTCACAACCTCCACTGAACTGAGTCACAAGGAGGATCTGGCCTTGAGTTCAATGGAAGAGAGATACAAAATGTTTATCCTGAAAAACCCTTGGCTGTCACATTGTGATACTGGAGCCCTACAGCGAATGAAACATTGATGTAATGTGATGATTTATAATTGCTCAGTAAGTAGACCTTTACTCTTGGCTAAGCCTGAAATATTTAAAAAGAGAGGAAGTTTGCTATAGCTCAACAAGCTCAGTGGATCTAGGGAATACACTCCTCTAAATGGCTTGTCTGTCTTTGATAAAAAAAATAGTGATAGGAATGCGGGACGTGAAGTGGGACGAGCCAGTAGGGGGCATGCCAGTTACTGGTCTCTGGTGATGAAGTACGGTGGGTCCTTCTGATAAAAATAACGGGTAGGTTCCCAAGTGTCAGACTGGGGTGCATACACAGCAATACTGCAAAACCTACTCACAGTAGCCCATGAAGCACTCTTGCATGGGCCCTAATACCAGCTTACTTAGCAAAAACGCAACTATTGATGAGCTCAGGCTGTGCTTACATAGTGAGTTTCTGGCCTATAGCAGTTGTCAAACAAGGGACCCCAGTTGGGACTATCCCTCTAAATCTGGGACTTTTGGGAGGTATGAATGTCCATTAATAAAGCTCCACTGAAAACATACGTAGTGGAATTTGATCTTATTCCATAAACCCCTACTTTCCAGGGTGCATTTTTGCTCATCATATAGAATGTAAAAAGTATGACAGAAGAGTCTGTGTGAGCAAACTGTGAGACAGAGAATCAAAGTCTATATAAGTATAACAAGAGCCAAGTGAGACCTTCGGTCATGGCACAGGTCTTATATTAACAATGTAGTCTTTTTGCACATTAAGGTACACATTAATTATACATCAAATAACGTTAGGGGTGCAAAAAAATGTTTATGTTCCCGGAGGAAGTAAATAGTGCAAAGGTAATATAATATATATTATGTATGATGGTAGTTAAGAGCATTTGTACATTGAAAATCATTGGTGTATTGTGTAGTAAATACTATAGAACTAATGTTGAGTAAAATATATTTGATTTACTGAGATGAAATCTTTAAGTTTTGTTTAGTTGGTTAGGATCTGATCCCCTACACATAAAATATTATAATTGATTGATTGGTTTAATTTCATATATTTATATGGGAGTTTTAAATGGAACAATATTATTATTAAGGGCCAGGAAAACAAAGGTGGCCAATAATTTCGGTGCAAACACAGAATCTAAACAGACTGCTAACAGACAATTAAACTCTAGCAAACATAGAAAAATAAAACCACCAATGAATAGCAACGCCTACAGCTAAACCAAGCACTATGTATGTACTATTTATTAAAAATAAATAATTTCTAATGTCGTATTAAACGAAATCAGTGACTGAAAATCAAAGATCTTATTTTACACTGCGTTCCATATTATAAAAAGTCACTAGTATTGTGAAAAACACAGCCGCTCAAGCAAGTAGAAAAAACCTGCCAGGTTACGGGAATAAAAATAATTTTCCGGGCTAGATGAACCAACAACTTCAAGGCATGTCCTGTGCATGCATGGAGGGCATCATTTTCCCATGGTTCTCTGCAGCCACCAGGGCTGGCGCTATCATAACGCAGCACAGGTGGACGCCTACGGCGCACTGGCGTGGGGGGAGGAGCAATCTCTGGGTCATGGGTAGGAGGGGAGTACAGAGCAGAGCACTCCCCTCCTGCCAGTCACTTCATGTAGCGTGCCCGAGCGCACTACAGAAGAGGGTCTTCAATCAAAAGAGGCGATAAGAAAAACAAAAGGGGGTAAGAAATTCAAAAGGGGGGTAAGAAGAAATACAGAAAAATGCATCATTACCTATGTCATCACATTGCTCCCCCTTCTTAATTTTTGTATCTGCCATCATGTAGTTAAAACCAACATTTTGATTATGTACAAGTTATCTACAGAGATGCCAACATATTCCACAGCGCTGTACAATTAATACCTACTGAAACACATTTTCTCGTCTGAATTTGATAGTTCTGCTTTGACATTTACTATAGATGTTTTAAATATGGTTGTGATAACTACAGCTGTTATATCTTAGGAATGGCCACCATTAAAGGCATTATCCAGACTTTGGTAAATTGACTCAAGAAACCAGAAAAAAAAATGTATTAATGATGAACAGAGTTTCTATGTAGCTTTATTTGTCTTATTTGCAAAGACCAATTGTTGATGAGTTTGAAATCCTCCCCATTCAAAGATAGCAGATCATTAAATACAGTGGTAGAAGTGATACATTTAACAAGCAGAAGGCTGCAATATGGCTAATGTTTCCAGCAGCCGACATACCGTCATGTAGGTGTGAGTGAGGGACATCCTGGTATAATATTACTTAAGTAGCAGGAAAAGGAAGAGAGTTGTTGAAGAACGAAAGAAAGGAATAATGAAGGTAAAATAATGTCTTTCATCAGCAGGATGTGATGGGAGAAGGTTGTAACCCATCTTTTAAATTGTTTTGTTGCTCCGCACTTGGTTGCTACATTGTTTTACAGTTTTCACACTTTTTGATCCTATTGTTTTTGTGATTCCTCTCTGGATGTACATCAGTTGCCAAACAAAATGGCTAGCAAGTCCTTTTGTGTTGGGCTAGTAAATAATGTAAAAACAATTTGGTGAGGACTGAATGGAAAATACAAGGTTTATTGGACTATTTGTTTTACGTGTACATAGAGCGGAGAGGCTGGATCACAGCAAAATCCATTATGTGCTTAAATGGGTTTCAGTAAGCTCTAACGGGAGAAGAAGAGGTAATGTTTCTATTTATTATTATTATCATTTATATAGCGCCAACAGATTCCGTAGCGCTTTACAATATTTAGGTTTTTTTGTGTTTTTATTTTTAGTAGTTCTATTAATTAAAGTAAGACAGTCACGTCCCAGGATTTATAATATTATATTTATTTAACAATTACTTATATCACAAATCTCTTTGTGAGGTCTGAAAAATAAAAATGTAGAAATGCAAATCATTGTATTTAATTCTATCCTGGAACATGGTGCCTCCTTCTTTACCCTCTCACAATAATCATCATTTTATAAGTAGCCCTTTTAAGACATTATACATAAAATAACAAAATAAACAATAAATATAGTTGGTGAAAGAGCAGTGTGTGCCTTGGCTGGGCCTGAATTAAACTGGATTGTGATGTCACTTCTTCCAAATTAATTCAAAGAAAATTAAATATGACATAAAAAAAATGCAGAACACATGTTATAGGTTATTTTCAGAGTCCTTCTTTAAAACAAGTAATGCTTGAAGTCCTACATTCTATAACTGCCCTCTCTAAACAACACTTAAGGAAACATCTGTAGCACCATAACCACTACATGTTGTAGTGGTTATGGTACCAGAAGTACCCTGACAGCTCCCACTGCAAAGACATTCTATTTTTTGCTCATAACGTAATGCCTGCAAAATAGACGCATATTGCTACATCATAAAAGATAGAGACTGTTTTCTTTCGGTGGGCCCTCTCAGGCCAGTGGGGAGATCAAAGATCTCCCTCACCGGCCCAAAGGCCCTTTGTTAGTGGGAGAGGAGGAAGGAGGAGGGACCTGGGAGGAGAGCGCTCCTCCGACGAGCTTGCTGTGTGGAGCGTTGCCGCACGTTGCCATGGCAACACTCCACACAACGCTCAGGTTCGGAGGAGTGAAGATTGCCTGCAGCCAGAGGAGCTGGAGACTATAGATCACCACCACCAGAACACCGGGGCAGTGACCCCCCCCCCCCCCTTCACAGAAAGTAAAAAGAAAGGTTGGAGGGGGACATGAAGATTTCATAAATAATGTACATTTATTATTTAAAAAACAAACAAACAAGAAAACTTTTGCTCCATGCACCCCTGCCCTCTGCAATACACACACACCACTCACCCCTCACCCCTCACGTACAGCACCTCTCACACACACACACACATACAGCTCCCCCCCACACACAGCACCTCTCACACACAGCACCTTTCACACAGCAGTCTGAGTGTGCACTCAGAAGTCTGTGTGCATGTATTCAGCAGTCTCTGTGTATGTATTGTATGTATCTATTGCATTTGTTGGCGGTACCAATAAATATAAGCTTCATTTTATCGATAATTTAAATTTTTATTGCTGTTAGTTGTTGTGTAGGTAGGGCCTGGGGGGCCATAACGCTGTTAAGATGGCACTGGTAGATAACCTTGATAAATGTGAAAATAGCTGATCAACAAAAGAGAGCACCTCGTTTAAAAAAAGAAATGGAGTACTGGAAGTGGTCTGGATGGATTGGGAAGTGAAGGTAAGAATACGTTTTCGGTGTGTATTTCTTTAATGCACTTGGTCTATAATGTATTAAAGGGCCATTAAATAAACCTTTTCTGTAGTGTCCCTTACTGCTGTATCAGAAAAATCCAAATATACCAGACAGACAATAAAACAATCCTTTCTCCCTGTGTGACATTACAAAGTATCATCGCTGATTGCTCAGTCAATTACAATGTAGCATGCTGGATGTTATGCATGAACAAGGAAGTCACACGGACAGCTACAATTCACCTAGAAAGATTCTCTTTCATGCTTATTATAAGTAAGTGCTTCATTACAAGGACTCTCGAGATGACAGAAGCAGAGAATTTGCAAATTACAGCTCCTTACACCATCATCTACAGTAGTTGCGTAACTGAAGGGGTGACTCCCCCCCCTCCTCCTCCCCGCATGCCGCCTGGTCCACTCATGTACCACACTTGTAAAACCATAATTTGTCATTTAAAATATATTTTTATTTAAATTATTACAATATTACTGGAAGTGCAGATCATAGATTTTGCTATCAGACCGCCAGGGATCAATAATCCCCCCTAATTTAGATCAGTAACTTCTGCTGGACCACCAGAGAACAACCACATTACTCACAGCCGCCTTCCTCACATATTATTCACAATCACCATTATTGTGGGTTTTATTACTGTGGAGCTCTGTATTACACTCATACACGTTACTGTGAGTTTAACCATCATGGAACGTTGTGATAGACTTCAACAAAATGCTGTGGAGTAAGTTGGCCTATATAGATGCCAATAATAATAACTGCACATTACTGTGATTTTACTAATGTAGAGCTCTGTCATACATTCGTTCACTCTGCACATTTCTGAGTTTTATTGCTGAAAGCTCTGTGATGTAAATAGCGCATCATTGTGAGTCAAAGTTTGGAGCTCTCAAACTCATATACACATCAAATCAGTTATATGGCTAGGAGCTCTGTGATCAACTGAAATACAGAGCACATCACTGAGTTGTATGGCTGGGAGCTCTGTGATAAACTCAAATACAGAGCACATCACTGAGTTTTATGGCTGGGAGCTCTGTGATAAACTCAAATACAGAGCACATCACTGAGTTTTATGGCTGGGAGCTCTGTGATTAACTCAAATACAGAGCACATCACTCAACTCAAGTACAGAGCACATCACTGAGTTTTATTGCTGGGAGCTCTGTGATCCACTCATATGTAAATAGCACATCACTGAGTTCTGTGGCTAGGAGCTCTGTGATAGACTCTGTGAACATTGGCGTCCTGTGATGTGGGATGCAGTGAATGGGATAATAAAGACGCCAGTGACATGTATCGCTAGATTTAATAATAGTGATAAGTTCCTGGTTGCTCATTGCTCAGTAGATATTGAACCACCCTTATAACAATATGGGGGGTCACACTGACCCCCATGGTTTTTGTTGTCTATATTTTAGTGTAGCCCTTGCACCAAAGAGAGCGTTTTTTTAACTATTTGCCTGTTGGCTGCTAGCACTTTTTAGAATTTTAACCATCTAGGTCCAGATTAGTGCCATCCAGCAGCTTCCGCCAGGGTGAAATTCAGAGCATGCTCTGCAAGATTCAGACATTGTTAAAAACTGTGAACAATGTCAAGATATTGCAGTCTGGAAAGCCCCGCACTGCATCAAATGGATTTATTCAATAATGGTAAACAGGCCCCACAGTATTCTATGGCATGCATTAGTATCATGAAATTCCAACGCAATGATTGTTTTGTTTGTATGCGGTGTGTCTGTGTAACTGTAGTATGTGTGTCTCTATTTCACTAGATTGCTGGGATTTACAATTTTTGGTGGCCACCTCAATTTGACTTTGGTACGCTTTCATTTTGCAAACTATTTACCTGTCACAAGCTGTTCAGTATCTCTCGTCCAAGCACGAATACGTCTGTGACGTTTTATAAAGCAATACTTATAAAATTTAATGTAGACAGACAGAGTCTGGTTAGAGATTGCAAAATAAAAAACAAAACATAACAGGAGTAACCTACATTTTGCAGTGGTGGGTTTAACTGCTATCAAATGGAGATATCCAATGGAGATAAAAAAATTTACTTACCACTCTACCTACAGGCAATGAAGTACAAGAAGTATAAGTTCCACCTTAATATATACTAGTTGTGTGAAAGTAAAATAAACTTGTAAAAAAAAAAAAAATAAGTTAAAAAAAGCACCATATAAGTCAAATCCATTGTGCCTCCCAGCCTTATCATACTATTTTTAAATGTTTAGATAACCTTTCAGATTTCCATTCTCACCACCAATATCTATCATACCAGAGTTAAAAATACCCGCCCATACACTGTGTTGTTCTAGGCGGGTACCACTTGTGGAAGGAGAACATATAACACACACAATATTGTTTTCCAGACAGCTGTGTGATATTTTAAGAGTTTTCTGTTTGTCTGTTCTTGTTTTCTGGGTTTTGTCTTGTTGACACAGGCGTCAAAGGGGATTTACTTCAAATCTTGGTCAAAGTATAAACCTGTCTTAGCAGTTGTCTTGGAGAACGAGGCAGAGGGATGGTGTTTTGTTTTTCACGCACTCTAACTCAATGGGTAATGGGCATTTAACTGCAAATTAGACTTTAGAAGCTTTATCCCCCGAATATCTCCCCCCTTTGTGACCTTCAAGAAAAAAAAGGAAACCCAAGCAAGTGGAGAGAAGGCGTCTAATCCCCAGACTCATTGCATATAAAAGTGTTTGTACAAGCATGCAATAGCAGGCTGGTTTTAATAAAGGAGAGATTGAGCCTCTGTGCTCTTCCAAATGACTTATGTAACTGCTTTGTGAAAAGGAGGAGATTAGATCTTCCTGATTTGAACAGTACTTTTGGAGAAATTATCTGTAGTATTCACACCAAGGAGATTTTGTTTTCCATTTAAAGTCCACCAAAATGCAATCCATTAACATAGAAAAAAAATGCTACAATTGAAGACACCAAGGGGCATTGTAACAACACATAGATAAATAGTTAATCTCTTAATTGGCAATTGCATTTTATTTTTACCCACATTCCTGAAAGTTTTCCAGATATTTTGTACATTTTCATTGAATTGTTCTATTTGATATTTGTTTATATGGAAATAAAAAGTTTTTCAAAATCTTCACAGAAACTAATTTTTTAACTTTGCCATTATGATCCACACCTCAATCTCCCTCCTCCCCATTCAGCTGCAGGATTACCCTCTAGGCATGAGTGGGCTCCAAACCCTTCCCTATCTAAACCTTGAAGTGCTCAATCAATTATCACATTTGTTATTGCTGGGTAAAACTTGAAGCACTCTCAGAAGTGAACTGGAATCCTAGAATCAAGATGCTAGATAACAAGGAAGGGCTGGTGGAATAGACCACTTTTATGGAATTAAATCTGGTTACATTTTTTAGTGGAGGTGTGGAAATAAAGGTTAGATTCCTTACACAATAAATCTTAAAGAGATACCGACACTTTAGAAGTGATGACAAATTCCAATAGCGCACTAAATGTTGGCTATAACACTTTCGTTTCCTGGCAAAAAATTATAATTTATTTTTAAATTGCATTTACCCCACTAAATGTGTGAAAGCGGACAGACAAAAAATCAATATGGTCAGAACTATCCTCTTGTTCCTTCTTCCCTTACGTTGTGAGAAAAATAGGAATAAATTCGAATAGTTGAGCATGCCGTCTTAACACTTATCGGAGTACATTTATTTTAAGCAACAACTCTATATTAACCAGAAGACGCTACAACGCAACTCAAATTCTCATACCTGAAATATTGGTGCGACGGGAAGGGGGTAATCTTCGTATTTAAACACACAATAAACAATGTGTTGTTGTTGGTCTTCTTCCGAAACAGCAGGAAACCCCAAGAACCCAGTTCAACAAATAATCTATTATTAGGAGGGACCCAGGGCTCATTAAAAATCTCACACCACAGGAGGGCTTTATTTAACTAAGCCCCAAAAATCCCCCTTCTCCCTCACATTAAGTAGCCCGTCAAGGGCCAGTTTTTATTTATTTCTTCTTTGATAATTTTGAAGGATGAGTATTTACATTGGAAGCAGTTAAGGAGGACATTAGTTGGTCTTGATAGATTAAATAAAAACTATTTTATGTCACAAAGCAGGTATATGGAAGACACCTATAACACCCACATATATTGACATGTAACTATTGAAATTAGAAATCTCATTAGCCAGGGGTGGTGGCATCAGTGGTGTAGCGTGGGCAGGGCTACAGGGGCGGTTGCCCAAGGCACAAAATTCTTTGGGGTGCAAAATTTCAAAACAAAATTAGATAGTAGTAATAATAAATAAAAAGTAGTGTGTCCTCGCACAGAAAATATTCCAGTGTTCGAACATTCTACACATTTTATCAACATGTAACAATTTACAGTATTTTTCTTCCTAATTACAGGCATACTGTTCTCATGTAATCCTTATCTGTGAATTACATAATGCCTATTAATAGCATGAATTCCAGTTTAAAGATACCACTGGTATCGCTCCTTTTTAATTATACGCCTCGTCTCCATGATATTGTGTCAAATCCACCTCACACCTAAAGTAATGTGCATAGACTATACGCGTTACAATATAGACTACACACATTATTTTAGGTGTGAGTTGGATTTTAAAAACTACGCAACACAATATCATGGAGACGAGGTGAATAGGGAAGGAGGAGCGTGGTTAACTCAGCACCCATTAAGGGACTTTGGGAGTTACATAGTTACATAGCTGAAAAGACACTTGTGTCCATAAAGTTCAGCCTTCCTCACATTTGTTTTTGCTGTTGATCCAAAAGAAGGCAAAAAAAAACCAGTTTGAAGCACTTCCAATTTTGCAACAAGCTAGGAAAAAATTCCTTCTTGACCCCAGAATGGCAGTCAGATTTATCCTTGGATTAAGCAGTTATTACCCTACATTGAAAGATTATATCCTTGAATATTCTGTTTTTGCAAGTATGCATCTAGTAGCTGTTTGAACATCTACTAGGTTAGGCGGGTTAGGAGGTGCAATACTTGCCTTGCCCTGGGTGGTGGCAACCCACGCTACGCCATTGGGTAACATATCTTAGAACAGTTTAGGGTGGGCAAATTATAGGCTTACCTGCCTCATTAAATTAACCTACACCTTGTTACATAGTATGGGGAATAAAAAGTATACCACACCTTACATGTAGAGTCTGGGAGCTTAGCTATCAATTTATCTATTCCACACCATGCAACATAAGGGTTCAGGCAATACGGGAGACTACTGTGCATGTCTCCATTGGTTTTAAAGTTGTCCTGGGGATCCTCGCATAGTTTTGTTCATTTTGCAGTTTTATATTTTCTATTATGTCAGGCATTTTCCCTGGCATGCGTAGGTAAAAAAAAAAAGAACACTAAAATCTCCAAATCAGATACAGAAAAGACAAATCTTGCTGCAATCATGTGCTTGGTAAATGTTGCACCAAATGTATCCAAACTTTTGATATTATTTCTGAAGTTCAAATTAAAAAAAAAAAAAAAGAAAAAAAAAAAGCTAATGAAATAACCCAAGGGGCAATTATACGTTAACCCAAGGGGCAATTATACGTGAGTTTGTTTAGGGGTTTATTCACTAATCCCCAAATTGTAATGAACAGTAAACTAAACTGCAAAGTCTGGGTAAAAACAGCTCAGTTCCCAAATTCATCAACATATTATAACCACAGCTATTTTAACCCTTAATGGGTTTTTTAAATACACAATTAAGGTTAGTGAATGAACCATTCAATAAATACAGAGCATCCTCTATAAGCAATTTTGCTTTCATTATAGTAAGCTATAAATATATTTCATTATTCTAAGTAAATAATTGTATCACTGTGCATGCCTTTTATTTAAAGAATGGTTTCATTAGCTCCACCCACCTTATAATAGAGATACAGGCCTTTGCTGTGGTTGGGACCTGATTACAAAGCAGTACCAACATTTAAAGCTTAAGTGATCGTTGGCAGTTTATTTTATACCTAAACATACATTAACTACATAGCTTACTGATGAAAGGAAGTTAGGATTACAGAGAATAGGGAAGGATGCTCAGCATGGGTTTAGCATGAAGTTAAAAGCAGAGGAAACATAACGGCAGGTCGCGGAGACATTCAGGCAATCCGACGAGAGAAAAGAGGAACCACGCACAAACTTAGAAGATGGACAGCAGAAGTGAAAGTTGGTTAAAGTGATAAAGACGAGCAGAGCCGAAGGGACACCATGAGAGCAAGATAATTACTGGCACAGTGCACGCAAATGATGTTTTATGCTTAGAATGTGATAATTACCAGCATCCTCTTCCAGTTAGAAAACAAGGAAATAAGTAAAAACAATATGAGAACACTGACAGACAAGCGCTCAAACAGCGTATTCATTGTAAGGTGTTACTGTGCATGTCAGCCTATCCCAGCTTCATACGCAGATAACGTAGATACCCCATCTCAATGAGAGTGCTCGTATATGGAAACACTGTTTATTACATACATACAAAATTAAGCCCCATGCTCAAACTCCCACTACTCATAGGCAGCAGCAAAGACTATCGTACACATCAGTCCCAGTATATACAATATAAACCAAAGGAAAAAGTTACTTGCGCACTATCCCAAATCACTATGCACTTAGAAGGTTTTTAGTTTCACTACACTAAAGTGTAAGCTCACCTGCCACGTCAAGGCAATTAATAATAATAAGTAGGTAAATTTAGGGTTCTACAAGCACTCTTGTTCAATGATAAGTGGAGCAGGTGTTGTCTTTAAACATAGGGTACCCCAAAAAATTAGCACCCAGCCCTTATCCGGTTTTGGACTAGAGGAGCCCCTGGTAACATGTTCCCATATCTCTGGTCCAAGTAGTTAACCTCCCAGTAACTAGAAGTCCTTAATGGGACACTATAGTCACCAGAATGTGTTGTCTATAGCCTGCTCCTGCAGGCCTTTTAATGTAAACACTGCCTTTCCTTACAAAAATACATTTACATTGCTGCCTAGTAATACCTCTAGGTGTAGTCACTCAAATGGCCACTAGAGGTGCTTCCTAGTCAAATGTTTCACATTGTGCAGCACCTACATTTCCGTCACCTTGTCTCCATTACAGCGCTGGTCTCACCACAACTGGCCCTGCCTCCATGGCTGAGATCATCAATCAGGAAAGCATTGGGAGGCTATTGCATGGCAAAACGCTGTATTGTGCCAATCAGCATCTCTTCATAGAGATGCACTGGATCAATGCATCTCTATGGGGAGCGTTCAACGTAGAGACGCTGGATGTAGGTGCTGAACAAAGTGAAGCATTGGACTAGGAAACACCTCTAGTGGCCATCTGAGTGACTGAACGTAGAGGTGTCACTAGGCAACAAAGTAAATTTATTTTCTCTGAAAAGACAGTGTTTACATTAAAAAGCCTGTAGGAACAGCCTATAGGCAACATAACCACTACATTAGTGACCCTTTAAGGACTTCAACTTACTGAAGGGTTACCTACTTTGGATCAGAGACATGGGTTCAGTGTACCAGGGGTTCATCTAGTCGAACACAGGACAAGGGGCTGGGTGCAAATTTTTGTGGTTTCCTTGGCCCCATTGGTACTGAGATGATAACATATCATTGAACAAGAGTCCTTGTAGAACCCTATACCAGCATAATTATAATTATTATTATTATTATTATTATTATTATTATTAACACAAACACATATAGGGTGGAGGAAGAGATAGTAGCCTTCACTCCAAAGCACATAGCGTGAATGGAGGGGTAATGGCTATCCTGCTATTTGGTACATAATTCATTCCACACATTAAAACACAAGATGGAGGAAAGGGTGGCACAATTCACCACTGTTTTAAATCCCCTCCATGGCATACAGCAGCCTGCAGTTTGAGAGCTCAGGTTATATGCAGGCATGTCCCAAACCTCACAAGTATATATATGTTTTTTTATTGAAATGTCAGTGTTACGGTTACAGTGTTACCATTTACGCTACGAATTTCACAAGCCGTGCTAATAAACAGTTCTAAATTAACTGTAAACCCTACTGATTTTATTTTTATGACATATGAGCACAAGTTTTCATATTTTATGAGATCCACCAGTTTCAACACCAGTTTGTAAAATAGTCCCAAAATGTACTCAGCTAGTTCAAGAATGCACATTTGTTCTAGGGCAGGGTTGTCAAACATGCGGCCCCCCAGATGTTGCTGAACTACAACTCCCATGATTCCCTGGCTATCTGTTTCATTGAAAGAATCATGGGAGTTGTAGTTCAGCAACATCTGGGGGGCCGCATGTTTGACAACCCTGTTCTAGGGAATCGGTGCTGGCTTCACTGACCAGTCACAAGAACTGAAAATCTGACTATTATTTACACATTCTTCTATCTCCATCTCCAAGTACACAGACTATTTAACAGATGTTTGTGATTATGGGTAGGATATATCCGCAGGTATCCTAAGTATGTCTGCATGTGGTTTCTTTTATCAGCGCCACAGATATGGAAAGAAAATCCATATTTGTACCAACCTGCAGCATCTGTTACTATAAAGCCTGCAAAAATATAAAATCTATATTAAAATGTATATAAAACTATATTTCTCACCTCACATGCACTGCAAATGGAAGCATAGCTGTACTGTTTACATCCTTGGGGGACCAATGTTCCCTCTGCGGTAAACAGCCAAGCTCTAAATAAATTTCACTTACTATTAATCAATAAAGCATAAAATGTTACTTTTACAGTTTTTTCAAACGGTTCAGTAGTTTTCAAAATATATTTATTAAAAGATTTTCAGCCTACCTGCTATGAAATCATTATGCTAGCAACATTTTAAGCACTCAATTATAGCACTTCCAATTAGGTTGACACTGTCACTAAAATTATCTTTTTTTCTATAGTTCAAAGCAATAGTCCCAACGGAATGTTTTTATTGTATTATTAATTTAACTGACATTTAGTATTTGGCTATCCACCACTCTTTTAGTGTGGACGCTGCCATAGTGGAAGTGCATTACAATTTTCGCATTATTTACTGTGTTAAATTACTGAATTTTTCGAGGATTTAATCCGAATGGCAAGAATGAGGCAAACATAGCCACGTTGTAACTATGGCAGGGTTGGGAGATTTTTCCAGATCAGCTACTTTTACCTACGTTTCTCTATTTGATTTAATCTACAAAAATCCACAGTTTAACAGCTACGTCAGAATATGATGTCAACATTCCATTAGAATCTGTGAATTGCGGCCCAGCACCCAATAAGAAAGAGATAAAAGTTCTCTGATCTTGATGATGATTCACTGCGAGTCCGCTAAACCCAAGAAAGCAAATGTCAGATCAAAATCTTCTAATTTTTGTTTAATGGAAAAAGAAAAGTAAGTAAAATTAAAAATGCTTACAAACAGGTAGTTTCTAAGAAATGATCTGATTGTGCATAGAAAATCTCTGATGATGGCAAGTGTAAAAGTCTTTTGCAACAGTTGCAGTACAGCTAGCTTACATGGATTAAAACAGAAAAAATGGGCAGCCTCTATGGCGAGGAAGGAGAGCTGCATGCTGGGAGTAATGCTTGTCATAGAGGAAGGGATAGGACTAATTAACATAAAACATTAACCTAATCTGAGAGGAAGTGTCTAGCCTGTATAACTATTATGGAATAAATATGGATCCAACTTGATATACAAAAATGATTTAAAAAATCATATCTTGAAGATATTTAAGTATAAATTTGATTATTCCACATCACTGAGATTTGTACGAGAGTGCTGCTCAACTCACTTCCTTGTAATTAAAGTAGTGAATTAAGGGCTAACATAGGAGGAACGGGGAGCTGGGATGCAAATACATCCCCATCCAGTAACTGTCATTAGCATTTATTGCACAATCTATCTCCTTTACCAGTGGATCTTGACGGAGTTATTTTGTGAAAGAGCAACAATATTCAACTAAATGACAGTTTATAAGTATGAAGTCTACATGGGCAGTCAGGATCTAACAACATCTTTATCTTTAACGTTTAAACAGGAGATTCTCTGATTTAAGTGTTTGTTTTACTTTGTTCAATAAATATATTTCCTTACACATTTAAAATGTTGCTTATAGTAACATAATATTGTTACTGCCTTCATAACAAGCGGCGGCATTGCACTACAGCTGACAATATCGACAATTTAAACTAACATCGTTAGGACGGAGGGGCGGGAATGTTAAGAGTTAGAGAGAAGTTAGGCTAAGGTTTGATTTGGGTTAGTTTAAGGGGTACTATATAGTTTGGGGGTACTACGCCAATCTGGTCACCCTACATTATTTGTCTGGTATTTGCACATCTCAAATAGGTTTCTGCAACTGAAAAATAGCAAATAAAAGAAAAGGGGCATAATTAGCCATCTGTTGTGTACTAGTGTATTTGTAACTTTGTCAGGAGACATTGACAAACAACCCCAGTGTTACAGTATTTTCCTATGTTACTCACCTGCCAAAATATACGGTCACGCTAGTTACAAGACGGGAGTATGTGACTTCCACTAGGCACTCATAATGGGCCAATGATCACCCCATTAACCCAATTTTATAAGTCACTCTAACTGGACTGGAACGTACCTCATCAACGGTTTGCGTGAGTTAATGTAAACCAATACAGAGATTTTTAAAAAGGAAATGAATGGATTTGCCACTCGGCTAACTATAATTGCATGCCAGGTTTAGGAAATAGCCTCTTCCAATTCGACGACTCATACCTCGTTATCTCTCTTGCGTGGAGAAAATACAAATCTTCGGCTATTAACAGATTAAACCATTAACACGATGATGATTTAATAGATAGCAATCTAATGAGGAACAGACCATGGGTAACCAACAGTAGCAACTGATGACAAAGAATTTAAGGACCAAGTGAAGCTATTTACTCAACACTGTACTGTGGAATAAGGACATGACAATTGCAAATTTTACACCAAAATAGTTACATTATTTTCAGTTCAGCATTTTGGTTTAATACTTGTAATTCCATTGCCATTCATCTACAGTTCTCTGCTTAGTGAGTGACTGTTGTTAGATCAATAGCATGTCTGGCACGTCACTGGTCCATAACGGGTTATTGTGCTAAGATGCTAAAAGGACCGATTTTGATTAACCTTTAAATATGGAGAGCCACGGTTTATGTCCTAAAATGCCCTTTCTGAAATGGAGAGAATTCTTTATGGATACATGCTGACTTTCTACGTTCTAACACACAGCGGTTTCCAATGACTCAGTAACTGATATAACGAGCTATTTCTCGCTTTGCCCTCTCTCAGCGTGTGATTAGTCGGGTGGCCATTTCATCACTAACAGGCTGGCTCGCAGGAATAAGCACAGTGCATCATGTCTAATTTTTAGTGCCAGTGATCACGAGAATAACACACTGTGTCTGTTTCAGAATCTGAAACATTAAAACACATTTTATTCCCTACTCAGAACCTGCCTACCTGACAGATCTCCTATAGTAACAAATCCGAGCATTTAATTGAGCTATCAAGACTTTGTATTTTAAATAAATCTTGGAAGGAAAGCTTAGAAGAGAATACAATTGTATCCCAATGAGATGTAGGTTTGCTTCTACCAACGGAAGGATCAGATATTCTATATTTTGTCTCCAGAAGAAAAAAAAAAGAAGTTGGGTTTTTATTATTATTGTTAAATAGTGACTTCAGGAAGTATCACTAATTGACCAGCAAATTTCAATTTTAAGGCCTTAATAACTGCGCTGGAAAAACAACGGAGTTTGAAAATATTACAAATTGGAATATTTTGGTTCAATATTTGGTGAACTCAAAACAATTCCCAGTTTAATGAATGACCTTAACAAAACCAGAAAATGATACTTTTACGTCAGGACAGCCGAGTTGTTAAAATAGCCGAGTTATACATATCTTCCAGATCATTTTTGCCCAAAAAGTGCAATTTCTTGTCAAATAAATAAATAAATAAATAAACTGAATGGACCAATGTAATATAGGGGTTATTTAAAGCCTTTTTTTCTGGGTTTAAGGTGCTAACAATAGAGCAATTACCATGGAAAGCAATAGAATGCTGATGCTGACTGTTTCAATTTTAGAATTCTGCATCAGAACCCTTTTTCAATAAGTCCCCAAATAAGACGCATGTCAAGTAAGGCTTTGAATCTTGAGATAGATGGGAATATTTATTATAGACCAGCTAAAGCAGTTAGTATACGCACTCAGACTGATTAAAAACATGAGGCAGGAAAATAGAACAGACTACCACAGGACACTGTGAATGTTCTCAATAGTTTGTACAATTAAATATTTACTACCAATTTATGGAACATTACCTGTATTTACCTTTAATACATTGGACCAGGAAAGGGAGATAAGAAAACACTTTCAAGATTACTGATTATATTCTACTTAATTGCAAGATTAATAATCAACATCACAATCTTCTAATCTCTTAACAGAAAGAGGAACTGACAGCTTTAAATAGCAAATTCCAATAGAATAAGCTAGCGGTTAGTTTTGTGCGAGCTTTTAGTTATAATTACATGTCAATGAAATGAATATTTGTATTGAATACAAGGCTGTTCTGGCATGATCTCTTATTCTTTAATTCTCTGCACGGGGGGTATATAGCATGCACATGGAGATACCAAAACTCAACTACAAGAGTAGAACTTCGCAATTTCAAAAAGCAATGGTCACCAATCAGAAAGTGACTGTTCCTCCTTAACTGCAGAGGTGAACTAAGGCCTCACTGCCCACGCAACAGGGACAAAAAATGCAAAATCCCTACTCTGGTACAACCGGGGTCAAGTGATGTGGCAAACACAAACAGTTCAAAGAAGAAAAGGGAATTAATAGAACATTTCTAATGTTTAACAATGACCTGTACTATGACACTATTCCCCCCAGAAAGGTGTGTAATACTTTCTACACTATCTCTTTAGCTGATCAGATATGACCTAACTAAAGCCGGGTCATAGTGTATTTTCAGAGTCATTGGCCCGTTGGCTTTCCATAGAACATTCACTGGTATCAGTTGTTAGAATGCTGACCTGCGTGTTCTATGAAAGGACTGCCAAGCTTGTCTCTAATGACACTTTGCACTTTCAAGGTATCAGACACCGCGACTCCTTTATTTACTTGCATAAGCAGTTGATCTATTTTTTGATTAGACTTACAAAAATAAAACAAACCCAAGGTGCTGTAAACAAGACATGTTACTTTCCATTCCAATCAGCTCCACTTAGCGGCAGTACACTTTTTTGAGATGTTCTCATGTATGGAATAAAGAGAGATATCTCTTCATTTCTCTTTGCACCACTAGGAACCATCAATGGCAACATGCACTTTTATCTTAATTAAGTTTACATAACGATAGTCTAGCAGAGGTAGTCGGGAGAAGTCACCCAATTTTATAGTGTTAAAAATTACATGGAGAGCTTACGTCTTACGTAACAAAATGCAGCATAAGCATATGTTTAATCGTGTTCTCATTGAACGTAGCAGGAATTACTGAGCATTTCAACCCATACACCAGCACATGAAAAGCACGTGTTTAACTATGTGTATTTATGGAAAATATTCAGCTTCATTGAAAATAACTTGAGAATGCTGATTGGCTTTGCCAGTTCCCGGTCTGGGTTGAGATCTTTGTATATTCTGTGAAACCTGGTGACTTCCAGCAAAAACAAGAAATCGAAAAGTGATAATCTTTCTTTCTTTTGATATTAATTTCTTCACATATATTTGGTGCATTTTTTTTTTTAAATGCATGAAAAACATGGCTTTTTTCAGCTTTCAAATTAAAGATACACTGTACTAAACAAGTCACACATGTTAGATGCACAGTTTATGCTACATGGACATGACATTTTTTCGTGGTGAAAGAGGTGGTTACTCAATGTATCTTAAGGAAATGCAGAGGTGAAGTCATCAGCTACATTTAGACATTACTTGGAAAAGTGTGTGTCCTATAACAATGTGGTTTAACTATGTATAGAGGGGGCCCTCCCCTTTTTAAATAATTGTGTATGTGTGATTGTGTAGGGAAATGTTCTTATGATTATTTAAAGCGATGGCCGTTTATGCTAATAGATAAATATTTAAAAATGAAAAAAAAACTGGTGTGGTATGCGGTTCTGTTATAAAATATCTCACCAAGAATTAGAGTTTCTAAAGACAAGTTAGTCATATTGATACATTGTGTGACATTATGTCTGGCTCAGCTAAGCAATTAAAGTGAAAATGGTAGTATATCAAAAGAAGTGATTATTTAGGTGATAAACCCTAAATATAAAGTCAAAGGTAATACTTAGTATTGAGTAGATGACTTCCAGATGTTGTCTTCAGCACATATAGAAAAAGATATATAAAAATGACATATTTTATCACCTAAATAATCACTTCTTTTGATATACTGCTCCACTCTTACTTACCATTTTCTCTTGTATATATAATTGTGTGTTTACGGGTATCGCATTTAGAGTATTGATAGCAGTGAGATATAATTATACCAACTCTTAGTAGTAATTTAATCAATTTGTTCATTTCCAAAGAGCGCTCCAAAATTACTATTCTATCTAAGCAATTAAAGTGTCTCCTTCACTTCTCAGTATTTCATAAAGATATACCTTTTATAGAATTCTGATGCAGACTGCAAGGATACCATAAGACAAAGTATTCCTACATTGTCCTATGGACAAGTCTGAGGTTGACAAAAGTTGATAAAAAACAAAACAGAGCTCTACCGTCAACTTTTGTCCAATTTCAACAGCTGTGAGATTCAATCAAGGTTATATTCATTGCGAGATGTCATATATGGAGGCTGCCAGAGTCTTACAGGATCCTTCATAGATCACACACATCCAGGGCCAGTGCAAGGAAAAATGTGCCGCCCTCCCACCCCCCATGTAACATCAAAACGCCCCACCCATATGATCTGCCATATGAACTAATGCCAGTGCTGCACATTTACATTTACATTAAAAAGCCTGCAGAGACAGGCTGTAGACACCAGAACCACTACATTAAGCTGCAGTGGTTCTGGGGACTATAGTGTCCCTTTAATGTGAGATTAGTGCCACGAATAATATACTAGATTGCCTACTTACAACCAGATGAGGATGATGATGGGCTCTGGCTGCAGTCTGGCTCCACTGGTCTGGTGTAGAACAGGCTGTTTGGCGGCTGTTTGTAACTGTGGTCACAAAAGTCAATGTTCTGGGAGAACGGGAAACAGCTCAATTTTTGGGGGGCCCGTTGCACAGCTCAAGGTCTGGGCCCCCAGGGCCTGACAATGAGTATGCCCATAAGGCCCACCCATAAGTCCACCTACATGTTCCACCCATGAGTTCGCTCACAGGAAGTGGAGTGTGTAGGGGATGTGTTACGTGTTAGTGTAGAGGATCTAAAGTGTGTGCTTATGGAATGTAGTGTATAGGGATACCAGTTTGTGTAGGTGATGCAGTGTGTTTTTGTGTAAGGGATAGAAAACAGTGTGTGTTTGTGTGTAAGGGATGTATTGTGTGTTTCTGGTTGTGTTTAAGGGATGTATTGTATGAATCAGAGTTTGTATGTGTAAGGAATGCAAGGTGTGTTTCTGTGTATGTAAGGGATGCAGTATTTGTGTCTGTAAGGGTTGCATTGAGTGTGTGTGTAAGAGATGCATTGTGTTTCTGTGTGTGTGTAAAAGAAGCAGTGTGTGTGTGTGTGTGTGTGTGTGTGTGTGTGTGTGTAAGGGATGCATTGTGTGTTTATGTGTATCTGTGCAAGGGATGCATTGTCTTTGTGTGTAAGGGTTACATTGTGTGTGTAATGGATGCATTGTATGTTTCTCTATGTGTAAGGGAGGCATGGTGTGTTTCTGTGTGTGTAGGAAGGCATGGTTCGTTTCTGTGTATGTATAGGGAAGCATTGTGTGTGTAGTGTGAAAGAGAGAGTTTGTGGGGTAGGATAGGGGCTTTCCACCCTTCCTCAGCCTCTCTTCCCTCTTGTCCCTTAGAGCTCTCCCTTGCACCACTGTCCCTTAGTGATCTCCCCGCCCTCTTTCCCGTAATGCTCTTCCCTCCTGTCCCTTAGTGCTCTTCCCTCCCATCCCTTAGAGCTCCCCCCTCCTGTCTTCGAGTGCTCTCTCCTACCCCCATCCCTTAGTGCTCTCTCCTACCCCCCCTTATAGCTTTCTCCTGCCTCCCTGTCCTTTAGAGCTCTCCCTTGCATCCCATAGAGCTCTCCCCTGCCCCTTAATGGTCTCTCCTCTGCCCCTTAGTGCTCCTCTCCCCCACCCCATTAGTGTTCTCTCCTCTCCACCCCCCTCAGTGGTCTCTACTCTTCTCCCCCGCCTCCTTTAATATATTTTCCTCTTCTCCTTCCCTTTCTATTAGTGATCTCTCCCCCCTCCTCCTTAGTGGTCTCTGCTCTCCTCTGCCCGCACCCAGTGGTCCCCCCCTTTCCATAAGTCATCTCTTCTCTCCCCCCTTCCCATTAGTGGTCTCTCCCCTCCTCCCAGTTTCCATTAGTGGTCTCTCCCCTCCTCCACCCCTAGGGGTCTCTCCTTCCCCCTCATTGTCTCTCCCTCCACCCCTTCCCTAGTGGTCTCTCCTTCACCCTCCCCTAGTGGTCTCTCCTCTCCCCACCCTCCCTAGTGGACTCTCCTCAACCCCACTCCCTCCCTAGTGGTCTCTCCTCACCCCTACCCCTACCCTAGTTGTCTCTCCTCCACCCCTTCATCCCTTAGTGGTCTCTCTCTTTACCCCCACCCTTAGTGGTCTTTCCTCCACCCCTTCCCTAGTTGTCTCTCCTCACCCCTATCCTTAGTGGTCTCTCCTCACCCCTCCCATACAGGTCTCCCTCCCATGGTGGTCTCTTCCCCAACCCCTTCCCTCAATGGTCTCTCTCCTACAACCCCCCCTCAGTGGTCTTCTCCTCTTCTCCCCTACCTCTGTTGTAGCATGGCCGAGCTCCAGGTCCGCAGTACAGGAGTTTCTGTTTCCTGTACCCAGCCGGACTGACAGGAAGTGCTCCTGTAACTCGCACTGGAGCTCGGCCACGCTACACTGAGGGACTGATAGGAGGGAGCACTGCGCGCTTCCCTCCTGCCGACTCCTCTTTTATTGTGCGCTCTCATGGACGTGCCAGCCCGTGCAGTGCTGCAGCCGCCTGAGGCTCTCTATAGAGCACTCAAGCAGCTGCAGCATTTGAGGGGCGACTGCCTACTCTAACATAGAAACATAGAATGTGATGGCAGATAAGAACCATTCGGCCCATCTAGTCTGCCCAATTTTCTAAATTTCCATTAGTCCCTGGCCTTATCTTATAGTTAGGATAGCCTTATGCCTATCCCACACATGCTTAAACTCCTTCACTGTGTTAACCTCTACCACTTCAGCTGGAAGGCTATTCCATGCATCCACTACCCTCTCAGTAAAGTAATACTTCCTGATATTATTTTTAAACCTTTGTCCCTCTAATTTAAGACTATGTCCTCTTGTTGTGGTAGTTTTTCTTCTTTTAAATATAGTCTCCTCCTTTACTGTGTTGATTCCCTTTATGAATTTAAATGTTTCTATCATATCCCCCCTGTCTCGTCTTTCCTCCAAGCTATACATGTTAAGATCCAAGAGTACAGCACTGACAAGGCTCCTGGCTAATGAAGTGCAGGAAGAAGATGGCAATGACTGCAAAGGACGGCTACAGGTAAGTAAGACTACCTTCTCCATTGCACTCCGCTGTCAATGGACCCTATCTGGAGATGTGTGCAGGGTGATCAATACACTTTGAAAACCACAACCTAGTTTTCTATAAGCAATCTGTTTATTAATATGCCGCACCCACTGTGTATACAAATTAAATTACTGAGCAAAATCAACTTGAATTGAACCTGGTGCCCTCCCAAAATAACATGAACAGGTAGACCAATACTATATTAATAATGAACAAATATAATATTAATATATTATTTTGAAATATTTTTATCCCATTTTAAAACAGGGGAGATATAGTCCTCAGCATATGGAGTGCTCTAGGTGGTCCTGGTGATATCACATGGTGCCAGGCAGCATGTCATTAAGATAATTAATGGGGGTCATTTGATTCACCCTTATAATATATTTCTGGTACACAGACATGCAGAGAACAACATTTCAGAAGCAAAGTGGATGATGACAACATCAGTCAACATCAGTAGCAAAAAGGGTTAATAGAGTAAGTACAGAATATTATATTAGAAATATATAATGGTAATTAGAATACAAATTACAATTAATTCCAAAGAAAGATCATAGAAAGGTATCAGACCTTAATCAAAGTTAGAGCTCTGTTTTTCCTATGACCTTCCTACATTCCGTAACTTACAAATTGCTGTGAATTGTGCTTGTGTATTTAAATAATGATGTGTAGTGATATAAAGTCATGGATATGTGATGTCTTGAAAATGCGGTGGCTCCAGGACTTGGACCGTTCCTTCTAATTCACTTTGAATAGACATTAGTAAATAACATAGTGTAGTATCCTATTAAACAGTATATGACAGTGATGGCGAACATTTTTGAGCCCGAGTGCCCAAACCGTAATACATGCCAATTTTTTTTCCCCTCAAAGTGCCAAAACGGCAATTAAACCTGAATATTGAGGTTTAAGTTTAGAAAAAAACACTCATACAGTTGTCCGAACTAATTAACATCTGTGTGTGTATTAAGCAGTTTGTGTGTGTGCTCGGCAGTCTGTCTGTATGTGTATTTAGCAGACTGCTGAATACACACAGACTGCTGAGTACACAGTCTGCTAAATACACACACACACACACACACACACAGACTGCTAAATACACACACACACACAGACTGCCGAGTACACACACACACAGACAGACTGCTGAGTGTACACACACACAGACTGCTAAATACACACACTGCATTGAGGGGTACAGTGTATGTGTTTGTGTGTGGAGTGATGTGTGTGTGGGGGGATGTGTGTGGGGTGGTGTGTTTGTGTGTGGGGGGTGGTGTGTGTGTGAGGTGATGTGTGTGTGTGTGTGTCTTTTTGTGGGGTGATATGTGTAGGGCAGGGGTGCTGTGTGTATGTCGTCCCCCCTCTACCCCCTCTGTTTTCTTTCCCCCCATCCCTCCCTCATTTTTTTCTCCCATCCCACACTCAGTTTTCTCCCTCCCCTCCCCCATCTCTCCCTCAGTCTCCTTCCCCTCCCCCATCTCTCCCTCAGTCTCCTTCTCCCTCCCCCCATCTCTCCCTCAGTCTCCTTCTCCCTCCCCCCCATCTCTCCCTCAGTCTGCTACCTTGTAGCGTGGCCGAGCGCCGCGGAGCTCAGTTTCCTGTACCCGGCGGACAGGAAGTGCTCTCTCTGTGAGCACTTCATTTCCGTCCGCCCGGTACAGGAAACATAAGTTCCTGTACCGCGGTGCGCTCGGCCACGCTACACAGAGTGCCTGGCAGGAGGGAGCGCTATGCGCTCACCTCCTGCCGGTCACTCCGGCTTTGCGCCCGCCGGGCCGGTGCGACCTAAGGCGGCCACTTGTGCCGCCTTATGGATGCGCTGGCGGAGCGCACGGCGACCTATGGCCGCGTGCCCACAGAGGGGGCGCGGCGTGCCACCTGTGGCACGCGTGCCATAGGTTCGCCATCACTGGTATATGACATGCTAATGTAATGCACTCACAAAATATCGAAATGTAGGGTGCATCCCCCATTTTTATTCTTTGATTTATTTTTGGGATTATTTATATATATATTTTTAGATAGAGGGCATATTATTGTCTACAGATAGACATGACGTTAAAAAAACTTTTTTTATATATATATATGGAATTTATACTTGGTCTTTTTGGTTAAAATGATACTATTTCAAATTTGTGTATATGTAGTATCATCGATACTTTATATTTAATGCACTTTAAATAACTTATTAGCACTTTATATGTAAATAACATGTTAATAAATAACAATAATTACAGCAAGATAGATTTAAAATTAAATGTTTGATTCTGTTAATCACTATTTCTCTTTAAATGCAAATATTTATGAGCACATGACAGATACGGGTGGAATATGTGGAATATAATGGACATGCAAGTTTAACTTGAAGTGGAACGCATACGTTTTTGTCGTCGACGGAACATACGCAAGTGCGTGAGTAAGGGATTACGTCATGAACCCAGAACTGCAATGTGAAAACTGACGGATCGAAAGCAGCTGTTAAAGATCCCATAGCGGCGAATCAAGCTCTGGATTCAAGAAACACCCACCGGACCACCAATGAACTGTGAGATAGTATGCCTATATCATTTGTATTTTGGGGGGATGAATTTCAGACGGTTAACATTGTTACACTGCATTCTGTAAGCTTCTGATTTTATTTGTACTAAGTCCCTGAGGAAGTTCCAATATTGGAACGAAACGCGTAGGACTAGTATTTGTTTTATACTTTTACATTTTTTGGCAATAAATGAAGTTTTTATCATTATTTGCCTGATTCCTGCTTTATCCAAACTGCTGAATATTCAGAAGGGGAAGGAGAGCAGGATTCTGTTTAGCCCCCTAGTGCTATCGGGGGAGGCACCCTACTATTATTTTGATTTTCTGTGAGTGCGTTACATAAGCGTGTCATATACTGTTTACCAGGATATTACACTATGTTATTTTGTTTTTTAATATTCTTTTAGGTATACAGTTGTATCCCATTTTTTCCATATTCTATACGTCTATTTGTCAGGGACCCACTGGCAGGGTGATCTTTGGAATCTGTCGATTACTCAAGTTAAGTTATTTATATTTTTTTCTTGTTTTTATACTTTAGTAAATAACCCTGCCAGGTTACTTACCTAATTACTAACCCGCAAATTAAATATCCTAGCTGCAAAAATAAGGTAAAAATAGCTGATCTGGAAACACTTTCCCAGTCAACTTGGATATTTTAGTATAAATTTTGCCAATTCAATTCAGAATGTGGTAAATAAACCCTCTCTGTGTCTCTTAAAAGGCAAAAGCTTAGCATAACGATCACACAAAATTCTAAACACCGGCATTTGCATGGCAGAGAGCTACGAGAAATCTAGGCCAATAAACACATCCACTCAGCTTCCAAATCAAATTCTGACAAGAATAATATCCGTCAAAGGTTACATTTGCATGGGAAAGATATGACAGACAAAGAACCTCTGAGGGGGTTTGTCGGGACGATATAACATTTCAATCGCTCGACATTCACTTCATGTTTGGATTCTTACCAATTTAAACCCATAAAAATACATATCCTGGCAAGCGATTGGGGTATACACCTTTCTCTGGAGAAGAAGGAAGATAATAACAGGAAACTAAACTATGTAATACTTTTTTCTGGCTCTTTGACAATGTAGGCATTGGAGGGGGGGGGGGTAGGATTGAGTTCTGCAGATTGTTGGAGTTAATCCAAATGCCTAACTTAAAAAAAATAAAAAAGATTAACCCTTTTTGCTACTCTTTGGCAGTAAAGGGGTTAAAACACCCTCATGGGATTCCCATTGAATATAGAAATAGAGTTGAAACAGTTATAAACGCAGGTCTTGACGCCGTAATGGTAGAACCAAACAGGCTCGGCTTTATGGGAAATGTAATGCGCAGACTAGTTATCAATGTCCTACAAGCATTCGCTGATCCTGGGCCGCAGCCTTTTTTTTAAAAATCACTGAGTCATCTCTCTGAAATTGTGTTTTTTTTTTTTTGGTTTTTTTTTCTACAGCGACACAAGTCTGAATCTAAATGTATTATTGCCAGACGCTGGAGCCAGATCAATACCCCTATCTCCTGCATTACTGCACCCCAAGGTTAATGAAATAAAGATAATGGAGAAGCTGACATGTCCTTTGGAAGACTCTATTGAATAAAGGTTGGAGTGTACTGGGGGGAAATGAATATTACGGCTAGAACGCAGGTAAAAATCTACTGCAATATCCGGCGTAACTGTTCGACTGCCAACACGTTGGAAACCCAAAACCTCAGGAAACCCGAGCTTGTCAAGATAGGACAGTCACTTATTGTAAGAATCGTGACCACATGTGAGGACGGTGACTCCATTCTAACTAGTGATTCTGAATGGTATTCCATCCAACATTCCAAGTGGACAGAGGGACACTTTCATTTTAGGAGTGTAACAGAGGGTGTGGCCAGGGGTGGGGCTGGTCTGAGAAATTTTAGGTAACTTGCTAAAAATTACATTTTAGTTTATTATTAGTAAGAGCAATGTGTCTTACTTTGTAATGTGTCTTACAAACTGATTTCTAAACACATTTATTGTAGTTTAAAGACACATTAGTGGGGGTATTCTTGCTGTGAAGCTCTGTTACACACTCAAAATAGGGACTGTCTCTCCTAAATAGGGACAATTGGGAGGTATGATATGAGGATAGAGACCTGGGCAAGATGTGGAGGTTTCTAATGACACTTTAACCAGTAAGCGAGTGACAGTAGATTGCATGCTGATATATTTATGCCATTAATTCAAGAATCTGTGTGTACTGAGTTCCTTCCTTTGCTGTGAAGTTAGACAGTCTATGGGAAAGAGGAATAAGATATTAAAAAATACTTCCTCACAGTACTTCTCTGCATCTTACCCTCGTATTTTAGAATGTGACCTCTTGACATATTACTTTTTTTTAATGTATACATTTATTCCACTAATTGTCCTTCAGAATAATCCGTCCCCTGTATTATTTCTATACATACCGTAAAACTCAAGGGAAAGGTATGAGCAGGTGGATTACTATCTAGTATATGAGTTAAAGGGACACTGTGCCAGAGGTCTTCCCTTTTTTTTTTTAATCCATGATGTTGACAACACATTAAAAATAAGCACAAAAAAATAAACAAGATACCTTTAAATTTCCCTCACCTGCCAATCCACAAGCATACAGCAAGAGCAGTACAGATTATCTCTCAAAACAGGAAAAGACCCAACATTAAGGATCCTCCATCGTTCAGCTTATCCAGTGGTTCTACTCAACTATGCAGCAACAACTATTACTTTAAGCATATATCCCAACATTTCAAATGGAGAAAGGACACGTTCATTTTAGGGTTAGAGTGGGAGTTCATTTTAGGATTTGAGTGGGAGTGTGGCCAGGGGCAGGATGTTCTGAGAATTTTTAGTTAACTTTCTAATTTATGCAACTAAAATGTAATTTAGAACAAGGACAATGTATCTAATTTACGCAGACTGATTTCTAAACACATTTATTGTGGTTTAAAGACACAGTATTATTACTGTGGAGCTCTGTTATACACTTAGATGCACCAACAATATAGAGCTCCTAGAAATTAGGAGCATAGGATAAAAAGAGGGGCCGATAGATTTGTGTCAAAATAGGGAATGTCCATTTTAAATGACACTTTGGAGGTATGTAAATGAGGCCATTTCAGAGCTTCTGATTGCAATCTTGAGTAAGAAGGAAAAGATTTGCACTGTGTGCCCATACATTGTACATTTTCTTGTATGGTTTATACACACAATGAAAAAGAGGAAGTATGGATTCTCCCTCTGCTGTCAGCAGGTCAAGGGGCGGGCATATTCTAATTATTTTTACAAATGATTGCAGTTATAAGCAACATTCTGCAAGGAGACTGGGACAAGGACCTCCTGTCCCTTTAATAAAGTTCCATAGCAAATTCTTCTCAAAGAAACTAACAAGGGAATAATTTTCTGGAAAGGACACAGTTGATTTAATACATGCTTTGTTGCACTAAACCATCAGTGTTGCTGTATGAGTCTAACTTTAATACAGTGAGGGATTCTAAGCGTACGCTGAATATCAAGTTCCCCAATCATCTCACATCTCTTTCTACTAATCAGAAAAACACGCTGACCCTGTCTAATAAATTATTTCCTGCTGCACCACTATGAATCAACAGACAGCAAAAAGCAGTAGCACAAGAACAACATTAGTAAAATCCAATTATACTAATGTTTCACATAGATGTAGGTCTGTTTAAAGGCAGCATTATTTCACTGGCGCCAATACAGATTGCAAGAAAAGTACTTAAATCAAAGTAAATTCACTGCAAACCTCCAAACTAAATGACAGCAACAAATTCCATTTAAAGTGCACCTTACATGACAAACTTGAAGGGAAAAAAAATTGCAACTATTTTTTTGTGCTAGCCGTAGATATCAAGTTATTCCCATTTTTAATTCCTTGCTGTCTAAGTCTTAACCTCTGTTTTGCCAGTTTAGTAGTGACAAGATTAGTATGTCTATAAAGGAACACACCAATCAGCATAATCACTAAAGCCCACTGAAGTGGTTATGGTGCTAGGAGAGGCCTCGCACTTTTCCAGGGTAAGTAGTGTGGCAGGACCGCTGCCTTTTCGTGCGTTGCCTTGTTAGTGTGTATTTCCCTGCTACTTCATATAAATGTGCCTGCTCCCCCTTCGGGAGGTTTTCCACGAAGGGAATCCATTCGCCTCCCAAACGGGGACCACCCCGATACCTCATTTAGAATGCTGGTTTAGAATGTCCGCACCTCGTTACAAGGTGTCAAAACCACAAACCGCAAGGGAAACCTCGGCCCTCCCCTTGGTAGCAGCCATTTCGTATAGGCGAATGCCATTCAGGGGGAGCATTCGCGGATTGCTTCATCCCCATTGTCTCGGGACTTTACAGAATTTGCAAAGACCCCCAAACTGTGACATCGCGGCTGGGGGTCAGTGTTATGTGCGAGAGAACAGCATTGAGATCTATGGAGGATTCTACAAAAGCCTCCATAGACAGAGCCAGAGTTACATCGGCGCTGAGATTAGGTATGTAAGAAAAGGTTTTTTAACCTGGGGGGGAGGTGGGGGCACGCAGGAAGTAGGAGGCAGAGGGAGCTATAGTGCCAGGTTTGTATCCGTTTAACCCCTTAAGGACCAAACTGTCATGTGTCCTTAAGGGGTTAATCTTTCATCTATTTGTTAGCCATTAAAACATCAAAACGTGGATGAAACTGATAAAATTAAACTTGAAGGGAATATTCCTAAAAATAACTCTCCTTTCTAGTAGTAGATAGAGAATACACAACTATCACTGTAAGAGTGTATACAATGTATCCAAAAAGAAACAGAGTAACTAAGTGTTGTGAGTAACAACTACCGGCTGTCTATTTTAATCACTTATTCATGGTTTTCACTTTCCGTTCAGGGTGCTAGTTTGGGCTATTATAAGAGTCTCGGGGTTTATGTCCAGGGCTTGGCCTAGAGGTAATGGTAGGTTGCCTAATATGCTTTAACCCCTTAAGGACACAGGATGTGTGACATGTCATGATTCCCTTTTATTCAAGAAGTTTGGTCCTTAAGGGGTTAAAGGAACACCATAGTGTCGGGAACACAAACGTGTATTTCTGACACTACAGCTTGCCTCCCTTTTAAAAGGTGATTTGCCTCGCCTTTTTCCCCAGGAAAAATACCTATAGTTAAATCTGTATAATCCAAATACAATATACTAATATAATTTCCAATGTTATTCTTTCAGCCATTTTTTTTCTAATGTCGTTCCTTTTAAACTGTTGCAAGCAAGTTCCATTTAATTCATTAAAGATCTGGAGGCTTAAATGGAAGTTTTCTTTTTTAAAGTTGCCTAATCATACTATACTTGCGTTATAAAAATACATTAAGGTTACAGCAAATAATTGATATTTAAAAGGACACTGAAGGCACCCACAGAGCTTCATTCAATGCAGTGGTGTGGGAGCAGTGCCCTGGCATTTTAACCCCACAACATAAAACATAGCGGTTTTGTAGGCAATGTTTACAATGCAGGGTTAAACACATCTCTAGTTGCTGTCTTCCAGAACGCCACTAGAGGCCCTTCCCTTCTGAGAACTGAGTCAGACTCTGTTCGTAATCAGACGCTGCTCATAGAGTCGCAATGCAGCACATTGCCGCGCATGCACACTAGCTTCCCAATGGTAAAGAAGTGGATTGGCTGAGATCATGAACACAGGGAGGGGAGTAATAGCATGGAGACCAGTGTGATGAAGGCTAAAAGGTAAATTAGGGCTGATGCTTTTACTTCACACGGTGGGGGGGGGAGGTGAGCAGAGATATCTACGTGATTACGCAGACACTATTGTGTGAGTAGGACACTAAACATGCTTGTATGCCTCCGTTAAAGGAACACTATGGCATTAGGAATACAAATGTGGATTGATAACACTACAGTGCCTTGGTAGACGTTTAGGTTCCCGGGTTCTTACCTACAGGGAGCATTAAAGGTAGTTTACTTAGCTTTTTTCCCTAACAGGACTGGTTTCTGCAATGCTGTCCGTCTCTTGTGGCTGAGATCATCAAGATCTATGATCACAGTCAGCTGAGCATAGATTTCAGGCGAATGCTAACCTTCCATTGGATATAACGGGAAAGCTACCACTGGCCGACCAATGCCAGGTACTTCCCACTCTGGGCAGGCATCACTGCAGCAGAAAATACCTGGATGATTCTGGACTTCAAAATAAGTATTATTATAATTAGCATTCATATAGCGCCAACATATACTGCAGAGTTTTACAATTACAGATTATTATTTTTTACAAGTGATTGACAAACAGAATATTAAATTACTTACAATGTATTCCTTTAGAAAAGCATTTAGGAGGCTAGTGCGCATGGGCAAAAAAAAAAAAGCCACAATGTGCTAATTATTTTCATTGGAAGCATCTCTAGTGGTTGCCAATGTGACAGTCACTAGAGGCTGGATTAACCCTAACATGCTATGTTTATAGAAAAAGGGTTAACCCTAGATGGACCAGGCACCCAGACCACCTCATTAAGCTGAAGTGGTCTGGGTGCCTAGAGTGGTCCTTTAAAAAGACAGGAACATGGCACGCAGACTACTTCATTGAGATGGGATCTGGGTGCCTATAGTGTCCCTTTAAAATCAGCTACAATGTAGGGAGTGAATATTTCATGGTGATGGGAAAGATTACTTATTAAGGATTACATTATGTTAAGCCTGTGCCAGTATCTTCCAGGAATAATCTGGAGCGAGGAAAAGAAGACTAAGTCACCTTGTTTTTATTCAATTGTTTTTCAGTCCCACCTTTCCTTTAGAGCTTGATCTAGTTCCATAAAATGATTATTTTTAGCATCACTTGCAGCAAACAATACAACGTTCCTCCCCCGCAGTAAATCCTGATCCTGTACCGTAAAATCAAACTTTGTACTGTCCTTTTCATTAACAGAATAATGGAGCCGGCATTAGTGACCAGTCATATCTAAATATAAACTGCCCTGCATCAACATCAGATGATTCATTGGCAGAAATAGCAACTTTATTTCTAAAGCTTACAACAAAACCAGAACATGTTTGGCTCTTTTTTTTCTGGTTGTGATGACTTTGCTGTCTTTAATTTTTAGTTATTTTCATTATTCCTTGTTGATGCCCCTATTTAATCTAGCACCCCAACACCTACATATCTAACACCAATTCTTCTGTTCATTTGATTTTCCCTGTTAATAACATAAAACACAGCACTGGTTCTATTATGGAATTATATGGCTGACCTTGCTTCCAGAAAATAGCCTATCAGAAAGTAATGACTTCAGAGTAGCAGCAGCAGCGGAATCATGAGATAATAGGGTACTAGGTGGTCATTTCTGACCAAAAACGTACGAATGGCCGTGGATTTGAGGACTTCTGAAAGTATTCGCTCAAAAAGCTATGCCAGGAAGCAAAACAAGAAGGGGCAAACATTATTATGGAAAAAACGTGCCTGGGATAACCTACTTTGAGATTGTAATCACATTTACGCAGGCCTCTCCTAACTTCTTATTTCTGTTCACCTTACCATGTTTTGATAAATTGTATACGTTTGATTATTTTGTATGCCCACAGTACAAGTGGGCAGATAATATTTGCTTGACTTAAAAAATAATAACATCATTATTTTGCTGCGTCCATCAGCATAGTGATGATCTTTAGTTTAAGACGTTCTGTTTCAGTATGTATGTTTGTTTTATATCTCATAATGTTTCACTGTGTATATATTTGTTTATATTCATAAAAATACTCGTCGGTTTGACATTTACCTGCGTTTCCACGTGATTGCACAATCAAACATCCACATAAAGGAAATACCACAATGATTCAAGTGGTAAAATAGGCAATGGGTGAAGCATTACGGATTTTGGCTTCCTATGGGGAAATTCGATGTATCGAATTTGAGTATCGAGAACTCTGCTCAACAGAGCATAAACAATGTGTCCATAGAAGGAATCACAAGGTAACACCGAGATATTTTGATCCAGGTTAAAATTAATTATCACCTCAAAAGAATTTCAGAACTGACTCACTATATCAAATGTTGTGAAGAGATAACAAGGGGAACAGTGAATTCCGCAACTCTTGCAGTTCCCTCTTTCATTTTCTACAGTCCCCAATTTAGTAAATAAACACTTTGGTTTTTCGGCAGAACGGTCCCCTAAAGGAGCCTACTGATTTGCGAATGAAGCCCTTAGTTACAGATGTAAAGGTTTACATCATGAATGTCGGTATGCGAGGTCTGCTATAAACTTAATTGACCTCAGAGACTTGGTCTGAATTTCAGCTGCAGCTGATGTGCCAAACATTTCACAGAGCTGCCAATATCCAAACAGTTGGAGTATGTTCAACATATGACAGTGAAATAGCTTCAGAGCTTTCCTGGAAAATTCACTTATCCAAAGGACTCCGTAACCGATTTCACAAGCCTGTTCCAAGTCAGGAGGAGCTGTTTGCTCTGAAATGACAGGCTACAGAAGACTTTAAAGGCCCCTTCCAAGAAACCAAGGGGGGTGGGGGTTTGAGGGTTTGGATCATTTATGGTCCTGTTTGGAAAATTGAACCGACGTCTTTCCTTTTCTAAAAATACAAGAGACGTTTTCACTAATAACTGTCTTCAGTTACTAGAAACAGCTTATGTTACATATTTTTTTTCTTTTTATTCTATTATGTAACTTAAGTTTAGCTTCTTTGTTCCATGCGAGATCAATGTCACTTTAGGGAATATGATTTCTGAAAAGACGAATTAACAAAAGACCTTAAAATTGTGAATATTGAACAAGGGACTTGAAAATTTCAGGCCAAGCAGAAAAATTGGTGAGTGGGATAAGTTTTTACAGATTTTTTTACTCTGGCCTAACTCCTAGCAATTCCCTTTTTAGTTGTGCAGTTTAGTGAATAGACTGCACTGCTTTGAATTTAAATTTCATTGAAGTACAGAGAGCCGACATTTGGTAATCATTTGAAGCACCCACCTGCTAAACATACAAGTTTCTGCAGAACTAGTAAGTGTTTTTTTTATCTCACAGCATATGGAGAAATATATTCACTATACTCTTGATTTTGTTGGAACAAATTTGTGGCAGCAGTAAGAAAGATCACTAAATGTGTTAAATTTCCGAACTGCACAAAGCCCCAATAAGCTGGCTCAGTTTATATCTAAATTGCTAGAGAAAAAATTCCAGATGAATCCCAAATTAAATATTTGGCTGGCACAGAAACAACCAGAAGGCAGAAGATTAAGAGGAATACATAAAATTAAATCAAAATGAAGTGGAACAATTCCCTTTCTACTATAAATGGAAGGGACAAGTGCAGTGTCCTGCCTGCTTGTTCGTTACTTTGTATCAGGGCTGCCCTTTGGTTAAGTCTGAGCTCTGACCTAAGGTCTTGCAGTTTGTGTGGGAGCTTCCATTGTTAGGCTCTCACACACACATCTCCTTAGTGCCGGGCAGCATGCTCAGGATGTCATTCATGGCTCTCACATCTAGAAGAGCAGGTCAGAGACCCTCCATTCCCTCTGTTCCTCATCCGCAAGCAGCAAGTCAGCAAAAAGAGAGGAAAGAATATTACAATGTATGTTAGTACAAGTGTTATTGTATGTTGGTATGAGTGTTAGTATATGTGTAAGCAGTGCTAGTGTATATGTGTTTCAGAACGGGTTTTAGTGTATGTTAGTACGAATATTAGTGTATGTGTTTTAATACAAGTGTTAGTAGCAGTGTTAATCTATGTCTGTCAGTACTAGTGTTAGTGTTTGTATGTTAGTACGAATATTAGTGTATGTGTGTAAGTTTGAGTGTTAGTAGCAGTGTTAACGTATGTGTGTTACTACGAATGTTAGTATATGTTTTATAGGACCACAATAGTGCCAGGAAAATAAAATAGTTTTCCTGGCACTATAGGGTTATTAGGTATCCCCCTCCCTCGGAGCCCCCCTCCCGCTAAGCTGAAGGTGTTAAAACCCCTTGAGCCACTTACCTTAATCCAGCTCCCTCGGCGCAGACCTCTCCTCCCCCTGCCAACGTCAGCTCGGAAAGCCCATGTGCACGCATTTTTAAAACGCCCATAGGAAAGTATTACTCAAGGCTTTCCTATGGACGTCCAGCGTCATCTCAGTGTGATTTTCACAGTGAGAATCACGGAAGCGGCCTCTAGTGGCTGTCAGGGAGACAGCAACTAGAGACTGGATTAACCCTCAATATAAACACAGCAGTAGTTGAAACTGCTATGTTTACAGCTGCTGGGTTAAAACTAGGGGGACCTAGCACCCAGACCACTTCATTGAGCAGAAGTGGTCTCGGTGCCTATAGTGGTCATTAACTATGAGTGTTAGGGTATGTGCGTTAGTGTGAGTGTTAGTGTTTGTGCTAGTAGGAGTGTCAGTATGAGTGTTAGTATATGTATGTTAGTGTTAAGTGTCAGGGTATGTGTATTCGTATGAGTGTAGGTGTATGTTAGTATGAGCCTTAGTGTACGTTTGCTAGTACAAATGTCATTGTATGAATATAGTGTGAGTCTGTGTATGAGAGCCAGTATGAGCATGAGCATTTGAGTGTGTCAGTGTCCGTTATGTATGTATGAGAGTGGCTTGTTATGTTTTGTGTATCTCTGTGTTGCTAATTATAAGTGTTTGTGTGAAAAACAGTGGGTGTTGGTGCCAGGCTATTTGTTGCCCTGGGCCCTGCAATTGGTATGGAAGGCCTTCTTTGTAAAAACCCACCTACTGCCATACATGGAGTGAGATAACTGTGTGGGCATTCTGCTGGGCACCTCTTGTCAACTCATATCCTCAAAAACTTATTTTTATTATTTATAAAGTGCCAACAAATTCGCTGTACAGTAGTGGACTGACACGTTATCATTACGTTACCATTGGTCTTTGGTCCCATCAGCAAAGAAACAAAATTCTCCTCCATGGTTCTGTTTAGGTGTCACTCTAACCACCACAACCACTTAATCTTACTAAAGCATTCATTCTTTTTAAAATTCCATTTAATTCCAGAGATAAATTCCTTATTGTAGTAGGGCCGCCTCCGTAGGCTGTCAATCAGCCAGTCGGTATACTCTCTTCCTGATTGGCAATATGAGCTGCAAGCAGCTTTTGAATTTGGTGTCAGCACACACAGCATGCTAACCCGAGACGCCCTGGATAGACTGCTGGGTGAGATACACACAGGGCTATTCACTAACGTGTGAACTGCTTGGAATTCAAAGTGAATTTTAAATTAGCCAAACAAAACACACAGCTGGTTTGGAGAATTTTTTTAACTTGTCTATCTTGGCCTAAAATGTTAAAATCCCTTTGAATTCCTGACAATTCCCACTTTAGCGGATAAAGCAAACATAAAGCTCTTTCTGTCTAGCTTTCAGGAAGGAGGGAGTTAATATATATAGCTGATGAAAAAAAAACTTCCTGAACAGCTTATGTGGAATATAAAGCTAATCAATTTTAAGGCTTAGCCGTATAAGAATTTTAGTTCACATAGTTTCATTTAGCAAGTAACCATCCTAATGGACATATAAATTCATACTTAAAAACTACACTAATTCCGCTCAAAACTATATATATAGACTAGACTGCAATAAACCCACCAATCTTTGTTCATTTGACTGTACAATGTTCTGCAATAACAAGGAGGTAAGTGCTGGGCAAAATGCAGAGCTGGGAAGTTAGTATAAATCTAAGGAAACGTATGTTTAAATGGACACTATAGTCACCAGAACAACTACAGCTTATTGTATTTGTTCTGGTGAGTATGATTATTACATACAGGCTTTTTGCTGTAAACACTGTCTTTTCAGAGAAAAAGCAGTGTTTATATTACAGCCTAGGGATACCTCCACTGGCCACTCCTCAGATGGTTGCTAGATATGCATCCTGGGGCAGTGCTACCTAGTGTGCAGCACTGCCATTCAGTACGCTCTTTATGCAGACACTGAACGTTCCTCATAGAGATGCATTGATCCAATGCATCTCTATGAGAAGATGCTGATTGGTCAGGGCTGTGTTTGCCTTGTTCAATCATCAAGATTGAAGATTTTAGCCACAGAGGTGGGGCCAGCCGATGTGAGAAAAGGTGAGGTTTTTTTTCTTTTTTCAAATATGGTTTTTACTGAGATATTTATTACGTTTTCAGAAGTGAGAAATGCATTACCTTTCCCTCAGCATATTAATAGAAAAAAATATTGTGTATCTTTGCACTAGAAAAGACGAGTTTAACAACCTTTTTACTGCGATCAGAGAGGGACCTGTGACCTAAATGGCCACTCTAGGGCTAAAACGTCAGAAATACATGTTTGTATTCCTGACCCTTTAAGTGTAGTAAGCTGAAAACAAATGTGTTAGGAACTGCAGGGGTCACAGAGTACTGGCATTACTACCACCACAAAAAATGTGCTTTGGGAGCTTCATGGACGAGCAGCTGCATGCAAGCCTCACATCACCATTGGACTCTGGAGCGGTGGAAACGTGTTCTGTGGTGTGCTTTGATATTTTTTAATCTGATGGGCAAGTCTGGGTTTGGCAGATGCCAGGAGAATGCTACCTGCCTGACTGCATTGCGCCAACTGTAAAGTTTGGTGGAGGAGGGATGATGGTATGGGGCTGTTTTTCAGTGGTTTGGCTAGGACTCTAACTGCCTTCTTCCTAAGTTAGGAAGAAAATCTTAGACGGACACTATAGTCACCAGAACAGCTGGTGTAGTCATTACAGCTTAATGTATTGGTCCTGGTGTCTATAGCCTGTCCCTGCATGAATTTTGATTGAAGCACTGCCTTTTCAGAGAAATGGCTGTGCTTACATTATTACCTAGGAATAGGTCCAGTGACAGTCACTCAGTGGGCCACTAGAGGTGCTTCCTGGGTCAGTGCTCTGCATGGAGGTGGTGAACTTTCCCCATTGAGATGCACTGAGTCTCCATGAAGAGATTCTGAATGGCGCCGTATGGCATTTTGGCGCGCATGCGTGATTGTCTCCCAATGTTTTCCTATGGGAAAGCATTGGACTGGTTAAGATCATCAAGTTTGATCATCTCAGCCAAGCCGGCAGAGTGTGGTCGAAGCCAGTCGCGACCAGACTAGCGAGGTGCTGCAAAAAGGTTAGTAAATCACCTTTTTCCTTTTTAACAGAAGGTTAGGGGGCCTGCGGGACTATTTAGACTGACACTATAGTGTTCTTTTAATGCCTCTGCATACGAAGACATTTTGGACAATGCAATGCTTCCAACTATGTGGGAACAGTTTGGGGAAGGCCATTTTCTATTCCGGCATGACTCTGCCCAAGTGCACAAAGCAAGGTCCATAAAGACATGGTTGGGTGACTCTGGTGAGGAAGAACCTGCATCAAGCCTTGACCTCAACCCCATCAAACACCTTTGGGATGAACTGGAACAGGGATTACGAGCCAGACCTTCAATGCTCTGCTGGATGAATGGGTAAAAATTCCCACAGAAACACTCTGAAATCTTGTGGAAAGTCTTCCCAGAAGAATGGAGGGGACCACCTACATATTAATGTCTATCTATGTATTTAGAATGCAATGTCATGAAAGTCCCTGTTAGCGTAATGGCCAGGTGTCCCAATACTTTTGTGAATACAATGTGTTAAAGTAAATAATTAATTTGAAACTAAACAGAAATCACTGATGTTAAAGAATATTTACTCAAATTGCAACAACGTAGTGTAAAAAAAAAAAATCGACACCGGCAATGACATCAGCAATTATTACACTTCATATACCACACGAACAATCAGAAGATAACTAATATAATCTATACTTGCAGCGATGAACTTTTAACCTAATGTCAACAGCGATGATATCACATATATGATGCAAGAGGTACTCACAGGAATCAACTTTGAAGAATCAATGATTTTTATGACCTCAGATTAAAGGAGACAGTTTTTAGACAGCTGAACAGGACTTATATGACTTTAAAATCTTCAAATAGTTTTTCTTCTTCTGGGTTTTGGAGAAAAAAAAATAGATTAGAATCTTTTGTTGGATCTGAAATGTCTAGGATTATGTCATTGTGCCATTTCACAACATAACGCAATGTCGATAGATATAAAAAATACGCAGTGTTGGTCTGATTGTAAGAAAGTCATCACTATATTAATACTGTTATAATGCCGAACTGCAGAATGTTGCAGTTAAAATTATAATTATACCTAATCATATAATATGTATTAATTATATAACTAAAAGCACTTCAAATGCCCCAAAATTTTTGTCCTGGTTTTCCCTCGGTGACAGCTGAGGGAAAAATGTCAAACTACAACAAGAGAAAGATGAACACTTACCCTTTTCAATATTTCTCCACATTTACATAGAAATGTATGATTAAGTAATCCCTGTTTTGTCATATGTGTATATTTTGAATGTTTAGTAATTTCACAGAAAATGATAAACTCAAAGATCACAGTTCTGCTTTCATAAAAGGGACACTATAGGCACCCAGACCATGTCCCTCTTGTTTTTGGGTGCAATATCCCCTCGCGTTTAAACCAGGCAACTGAAAAAATTGTCATTCTGCAATTGAAACATTTAAATGCCTCTAATGACTCTAACACTTACAGCCACTAAAATTCAGCTATTTCAGTCACAGTCTCATAGAGATGCATGCTTACCTTTCCATTGGAAAGAATTTGATTGGTTGAGATTGGGGAGAGGCATCAACTAAACCGTGACTAGGACACACACATTAGGAATACACATTTCTATTCCCATTGCTACAGTGATTCCTTAAATAAACACTCCAGGAGTGCCCACTCCTCACCTCAGTGAGAGCTGGTTGGTGCAGGACTTTACTCAATGGCCGAGAGCATCAGCTGACACTTTAGCCAATGAGCAAACCTGTAACTGCACGGCTTAGCTCAAGAAACAATGGACACTCGTAGCAGGAGCTTACGGCTCTCAGAGAGGAAAAAGAGAGATGGACAGCAGAGCCAAGTACACAGATAGGAAGTGAAACTGTTCTAAAACACTTTTACTTCTTATATGGGGGTCATCACTGAGCTGTGTTTGGTATGGTGCTTGAAGTAATCCTTTAAAAGCAAAATAAATGAACACACAGAAAGTGAAAAAGAGAAAACAATGAGTTGCAATTCTAAAGAGGCTAGCAGTCTGAGCCAAAATATGTCTATTGTGCAAAATAAATTGAAATTAAAGAATTATGAAGACTTATTAAAGCACTCACAGTCAATGTGGTTTGAGATGAGCTATTTTTCTAAGGAGCACTTAGCCCCACTTTGTAAGAGATCTGTACATTCAGTGACCACATGATATCAGGAGAGGCCTGAGAGGCAAGTGACAGAGCACTGTTTCTATGTGAATTAAAACAAGATTTGATTCACTTTCATCTTCAAAAAATGTCAGATTCCAAAATGAGAAGCGCTTTTGTTTTGGGAATGCCAACCTCTGCTTGATAACAAGCACAGTTACACACATCGTTCATTTTCCAGGACATACATGCTAAAATTAAAGTCTGTCTGTGGACTACGTACAAACAAGAGATGATGTCAATACTCAAATAATTAAGTTAAATTTTGGGGGCAGAGTTAGATGTGCACCTGTGAAAATCATTCTTTAATGGAGATCCCCTTGAAATAACAATACCAGAGAGGGACTAGTGGAGGACAGGTGCGAACACATTGAATCTTTGAGAAGATGGGAGACAAGAAGGAAGAATTTTGCCTGCTGACAGTCACTGATACATTAGTCTTTCTACATGATGGGATGTGTTCTATGGCAGCTGATTTACATGCAACTTATAATTACACAATCCTGAACCACGCCGCAGGCATACAAGTCTGAGTGACATTAACATCATTATATAATCACTTTGATACAAGCTGAACAAGCTTTTTGAGTTTAGTTTTTTCCCACCTCTTAGCGGTTCCCATACAGGCTTCCTTCTCCATTCTATTTTTTGGTATAGTAAGACACTGTAAAACTGTGGAATAGTATCAAGTTCTTTAATCCACATGGTTGACACAACACGTGAAGTTTCAGAGTGCAGGGAGAATATTTAGCAAGTTAAAAGTTACAGAGTTAGTGTTAGGGTCTATTTAGGCCCAGATAATATTAAAGGGATTTTAGAATGGTACACCAGCCCCGGCTATGACTACTCATTTCAATGTATTATCATTGGTGCCACCTTAAAGAATTGTAATTAAATGCAGCCCTGGTTTAAGCTACAAATGTAACCCATTTCTCTCCAGAAATACACAAAGAATTCATAAACAGTAATCAAACATAAAAAAAAAAAAATATATATATATATATATATAAAAATAGCAATACAATAATAAGCAGCAGTTATCCAACACTGAATCCCACAGCCCCCCCAGACTTTGCAAAATCTCTTCATAGATATGGCACTAAATCTTGTGACTCTTCCTAAACAAAGAATTGAACCCGGCAGTTCTACAAATTCATAATAATTAACTCTGCTGCTCTCCACAGATGTCAAAATAAATTGCGGAGTTCTCAAAAGTCTCAACACTAAACCATGCATCTCCCTTCATACTGAACAAACGCTACGCCCCACAGCTTTTCATAGACACAGCGTTGAACCCAGGAACTCTCCAGAATTGACAATGAACTCAGCAGATTAAAAGTGAACCTGTCAGGCAAAAATAGCGTGGTGTAACTTTTCAGATAATACTTTGCATTGTACCAAAAGTTAGATTTTTAAAGGAATGCTAAAGCATTAGGAATACATACCCGTGACACTGGTTACCTCTCTCAGACCTCCTCCAATTTATGGTCTGAGCCAATTCTACTCGTAGAGGAGAGTTTGAGTCCTGATGCGCATGTGTGGCAGTTGCTTTCCTATTCAGGGTTTCACATTACGTGACGGAGTTGTACTCAGTCAGAGCTACGGATTCACCTCTAGTGGCTGAGAGAAAGACAGTCAAAAGAGGTGGACTTAACCCTGCCAAGTAAACATTGCAGTTTCTTCAAAACAGCAATGGTTTACATAACAGACTTAAAAGGACAGGACCACTGCACCCAGACCACTTCATTGAGATGAAATAGCCTGGTTAGCTTTAGCGTGACTTTATGCTTCATGTGTGCATTTTTACATATAACCTGTTAAATTTTGCTTTACATTTATCCTTTTTTATGGTTTCATTCTGATGTTTTTGCAGAGTATGCTTTGAAACTATATTAGTATATCTCACTCTCTACAAATACAGGTTCTGTTTGCCTGAACGAGACCATGTCAATTTACCATATACAAGGGTTATTCACTAAACTCCAGAACTCCAGGCGGCTGAGATGGAAAATGTTCCCAATTCAGCCATTTTAACCTCAGTTTTAACATTCGGATCTAACATTCGGAGTTCTGAGAATAACCGTGATAATCAATTAGCACTCAGCATTTCTTACAGATATATACTGTTAAGCAACATAACCACTGCAGCTCAGTTGCACAATTATGTTACCAAGAGTTTCTGAGTGCAGTTTCCCTTGTTTGTCAAACATTTAGGAATTTAATTGACAAAAGCACATTGATCATCTGAAATCTACATAATTAATGCGTAATAAATATCAGTTCTGCAGTATGTATGTAAAGCATGGAGTGTCTCTTTAATTAACACTTTATCGATACCAGACATTTGTTTTTCTAATAGACCACATAGGCGTATAGTCAGTGTAAAAAAAAAAGTTGATTAAAAAAAAAAAGTCACAAAGTTAAAGAGTTAAAACAAAATAGCTGCACGTGTCACTACAGGTATCAAGGCCATGTGAAAGGTATGCTGACATTACCTAGATAGAGCTATTTATGACTGCCCTGAGCAAAAAAAGTACTGGAATTACAAATGCATTCTTTCCTAGAATCTAGCCGCGTGTAGTGTATGTACAGAACGTTCTCTGAGAAAGCTTTAAAGCCTTTGCTCTGGCCTTTCACACATACATTTAAACAGCTGTAAAACATTAAACATTTTTTTAAACAATAGGTAGATTACAGATTCAGAAAATAGTTTTTGGAGGCTAGGGGACAGATAGGGTTTTATGAATCGGTCTTGGAGATATAGGTAGGCTGGGTAGAATGTGTCGATCCAATTCCAGAAATTAACGTGACCCTGTAGGGTATGCATCCTACATTCCCTGGGTATTAAGAGACGAATTCTAGCTATCCATTGCCAACAATGTGGAATGAGCTAAATTAAAGCTGAGCTATAAATATAATTAAATGGATGCCCTTCAACACACTAATCTGAAGAAAAAAAAGCTTTAACTAAACTCAATGTTTCCCCTATTTATATTTGTGTTGGGTCATTCTAACAATAGTCTAAAGCCACGTGACTAATAGATTTGAGTAATGGCAAATGTTTCTTAAAGTAGAACACTTATATTCTTTGCAGGTTGCAATTATTCTAATGCATCTCTGAAGTAGCTTCATTCATGGTTTTCATGAATGAAGCTAACTGCTTCCATGACTGCCATGGGTTGTTCAGATGTGAGGATAAAGCTGGCAGATAAACTGTAAATGTTTTATGGCATAAGTAATACTTTTAGTAAGCTTTAGGAGCAAAAATAATGGCTAGGATGTTTCGTAGTTAGACATTGATCCCCGAGAAGCTGCAAATAACTAGTTTCAAGGGTAAATATAATTTAATTATTATTAGTCCATTTTTAAATCCTAAGCCAAAACTCGGCATTTAATGTGTATGTGCACAATACAAAATATCACTTAAAAAACAAACACTAAACATAACTAATTATCACATCAGCTACTACTGGTTTCCATGGTGACATGTCCTTATTTAGAGCTTTGTCCTACAATAGTATCTGGTTTTGCCTTAAATAAATCTCATCCAAGGCTGTTATTTGGGGCAATGAGCAGGACCAATTAATTAATTTCTATAGTAAATGCTCATATTTTATACCTTTGCTGTTGATGAATAACAACTGAAGTGGGTTTTTTACTTGACGAAGACAACAAATATTTGCAGAAACAGGATCTCTGCTTGAAACTATAGTCCCCCAAGCCAGATATCGATAGTGTTCTAAGACTAGAAAATATATACATTTGCCGTCAATGAGGCCTCATTACAGTCAGTAACAATTTGTAAGCTTTCATAATGAATACACAACATCAACTGGAGTTTTCCTTGATATCACTGTGTGAACATAACCTGGTGTTAAATCTTGGCAGTGACATCATTGATAAAGTGCCCTTGAGTAAAACGCATTAGGTGATTGACATTCCCCTAACTCCTATGTAACTGTTCAAGCTATCCTTTCTTTTTTTAATGTGAGCAGTGAAGCTTAGATCTACCTCGAGCCATTTAACTTGAAATATTTTACTATATCATGACAGCGCAATACCAGACAACATATAATTAATTAGATATATTTAGATTTAGGCACCTGGGAGCTTACAGTGTCTTTTTCTCCCACTGAAGAACCACTGTGATTCTTAGAAAAACGCTACTAAGTTTCTTCATTTCGTTCTCTGCTTCAAGAATGCAAAAAATGCACACTATGCAGAATGTTGCGGAATCTATAAAAATTGGCAGATTTTAGACTTTTCCTAGAAGGGAAAATATTATTTTCTCTTAACTAAAGAGGGAGACTAGTTTGTAGGGATCTTCTTTTTTATATTAGAGGGAACTCTAAACACCATCACTGCTACAGCACCCTGTGGTAGTCATGATGCATGGTGCCCAATGGCGCCATCCCACAATGAGCCATCAAAATGTTTATGAAAGGTTTGCCTTGCACTGTCAGGTACCCGTGGTCCTTCTTTACATTTGAAGAGGTTCATATCAAGTGTATGGCGGTAGCTGGGAGTATTCAATGTCTTAGTATGAATCTTGCTTTGTCACTTCAGACTGGAAGAGACATGGGTACCCGACAGAGACAGGAAAGTATTAAACAGTTCATAAATGGCTTGACAGGTTACCAAGTAATTTGCAGGGCATGAGAAGGACATGAGAAATGGCTAGGATTTCTTAGTCAATCTCGGACCTCCTGTGTCCATCCAACTTGCCTTTTTACTCCCCCTGGTTTATGTCAAGTCATTCTGAAATAGTTCAAATGGTGGGTCTTAAGGCAGCCTGTCGTTATTATGTTACTTTGAGTATCCTGCCTCTTTAAATAATTATATGTCATTTCAAATACAGATTAAATATTACACTCACTGAAGGTAGATCCTGTATCTACTTACTGACTGGATTGCTGAATACATCAAGACTTTCATTAATTTTTAATGTTAATGTTTAATGATAGCTATTAGCTATCAATGTGATTAGCCCATTATGTAAAAAATAATAATGAGCAATACAATATGACACTGTTTCAAATTTAAGGTGACAGGTGCACTTTAAGAGGATACTATATGTAGGTAGTGTTTAATGATTAGTGAATCAATGTTTTTTTTTATTTTTAATGGTCTACATTAAACAATTTATTGGCGACACTTTCCCTTTGATTTTCAAGCTTGAAAGTTTACAATCAGTCATTGGCATCATCAAACATTTTATATAAGCATTATGCAGTATTCATGAGCATGCAGCCACGTGTTCTAAAGAGACAGCTGTACGTGTAAATATTTTATCTGCAAGGTGATGGGGGGGGGGAGTTAAAGCAATATGTTACAGAGCAGTGGGTTTCAGTGGGAATATTTGCAACTGACTGCACCAGCGAATAGTGAATTAGCCGCAATTCGTATCACAAGTGTGCTGGGTGTTTAGTGATTATTGTATTTGCATTTAAGATCTCACGGGGAAAATGGATCAATTTTTCGTGCTTGTCGACTTTAAAGCAAAATCGTCTCTAAGAAAAGAATGAGTAACTACGTAGCGATCTAAAGGCAAACATTCTTGTTAACCATTTTCTGGGAATGGGGCGTTTTAACTAGCAAATAAAAAAGAAAACATAGAGAAAAGTCTCCTTCCTTAGGGACCTGCTCCTCACCTGGTCACTGAACGAAGGATCCCACTCTTCAGCCTAATTTATTTCGGTTCATCAGTAGAAAAATTATGTCTCCCTTCCCAAAAGCGATAAAACAATAACATGTTACTGAAACTCAAATATTCAATTATTTGGCATTTAGAATCAATGATGCAAATATACAGCCATCACTTGATTTTCATTTTGCTAATAGTTTTAAATGATCTAAAATCTATCTTTTTCCTTAGCTTTAATAATCAGTTTTGGATATTTTTTTTCTTATATGGTCCTATATGGTGTTTCTAGAAATGCTCTGTTACAAAGGAAGAAAGCAATTTTTTTTACGACGCAGCACCCAAGTTAGTTGACGAGCTTCAATTCTGAAGGAACACGCACAGATGTAAATTGGGAGTTCCTTCGTAATCACAGTAAGTAAAATAAAGGTATGGGTGCTGGACATTTTCCTCTGTCCAGAGCTCTAATCACTAAGGCCATGATGTCAGAGGTTACAGTGCAACCAGTCAAGCAAATCATTACTTATTTTACTGACCCTTAAAAACAAAAATAAACTGTACCAAAATAACTGTCCCAGATTGGTTGGCCAGTGCCTGTTTAGGATACAGAGAGAATGACCCCAAAAGGTTCAGTATGAAAGTATCATTAAAGGGTTACTTCAAGTATTATAACCATTACCGCTCGCTGTAGTGGTTAAGATGCCAGACCTACCCTGGCGCAGTTCCCTAGTGATAGGGCAAAATGTTTAGAAAAAGTTTGCCCCCCTACCTGGGTCTTTGGCAGGCTCTGAGTCTCCCTGGTGGTCCAGTGATGCACCACCGGGTTCTGCAGAGCTGCAGAAGCCGTGGAGGTGGTCGACTTTCATTGGCTGAGAGCATCAGCTGACTGCTTCCAGCCAATTACTATCATTCTGTGCAATGAAAGATACACAGTATTGACAGCAGCCGGAACTCTAATTCGGATGTGGAGTTACAGCTCTGAAAGCAGTTAAACGGTAAACATACAGACTCCAGACACCATGACCATTTCAAATCTATCAAGTCCGCTGTGAGCTTGGATTAACTCTTTAAACACACAGTACATGCATACGTACTTTGATATTCTGTTCACATTGGTTTGCTGGCCACCTTGGATAACCTGTCAAATGTCAACCCCAACCTCCTCCTCCTGGATGGCACCACATTCAAAGCAGCCGTGATCAGGGATGCAGCCCGTGGCATACCCCTCAGTCGTGCCCAGCCCTTTTAGTCCAGATTTTATATCTTCCAATATCACCAGTCTCTTTGACACCATTTCACCAAATTAGGGATGTGCATGGTTTTTCTGATGAAATTAATTCTATTTACTCCAGCGATTAAGCACTCAGGCAAAACATGTGTTACCAGTTCAATGTTTAAATATGAGACTTTTAAACAATTTGTATGGTCTTACTGTCAGAATAAGTCAATTTCTTCCTAGACATTTGGTATTCTGCATGCTTATTAATTAACTCCCTGCTTTCCATATTAAGGAGGGACAATCCCTATTTGGGACAAAATCTGTCTGCCCTCTTTTCTGTTTTAATGTCCAGAGCTCCAAATCACTCATATTCGCCGTAATATATAGTTAAACTACAATAAATAAGTTTAGAATTCAGTCTGTGTAAAAAAGATCCATTGCACTTGTTATAATTTTTATTAGTAAGTCCCCTCAAATTTCTCAACCTCAATCACAACCCTTGGAATTCTAACTAAATTGGATTTCTGGACATTTTCTGGACACAATGTGTGTACTGCATCATCAACACTACAATGCATTTCCTTTTCAGTTTTCAACAGAAGGGAAGAAGATATATTGGCGTAACTTCATATATCTCAGGTTCTGATTGGTTGCTTACAGCTTAAGTTGTTGGTCACTTTTTTTCTATATCAGAAACTATCCTGGAAGCTTAAAGGGACACTATAGTCACCAAAACAACTGTAGCTTATTAAAGCAGTTTTGGTCTATAGATTATGTCCCTGCAGTCTCCCTGCTCAATTCTCTGCCATTTAGGAGTTAAATCACTTTGTTTATGCAGCCCTAGTCACGCCTCCCTGCATGTGGCTTGCACAGCCTGCCTAAACACTTCCTGTAAAGAGAGATCTAATGCTTAATCCTCCTTTATTGCACATTCTGTTTAATTTAGAATTTTATTTTTTGTAAATCTGTTTTTATCCAAAAGTTGTTCAGACAGTCGATACATACGTTAAGAAGAATTGCATCTTGGGACACGCAGGTCTACTATATCTCATCAGTTTGAGAATACTACCCGCATCGTTTTAAGGTTATTGACTGGTGCGAGGATCAAAGCTGTAATTTGATCCCCTGGTTCTTTCGGCTTTTAATTTAGAATTTTGTATCTCCTGCTCTATTAATAGCTTGCTAGACCCTGCAGGAGCCTTATGTGCATTATTAAAGTTTAGTTTAAAGAGCAGGAGATAAGAAGTTCTAAAGTAAGTTAACATCTGATTGAAATGAAACCATTTGTTTTATGCAGGAAGGGTCAGTCACAGGCCAGGGAGGTATGGCTATGGCTACATAGACAGAAACAAATGTGAATGGCAGAAAATTGAAGCAAAAACTGCTTCATTAAGCTAGAGTTGTTTTGGTGACTATAGTGTCCCTTTAACTCAATAATTAGTGCTGAAAGAGCATTTAAAAAATACAGCGTAATTTAAAGTAGCCAGGTCTGTGCGAACTAACAAACTCCCTTTCTGATATTTTGAATAACCTCAAATACCTGTTTTTTTTTTCTCCTAAAATTTTGGCTTTTCGAAAGAATGGAATGTCAGGTGTGTCGAATTCCAAAAAATACAGTGTGTTCCTCAGACTCTCTGAATAAATGCCTGCTTCTGGTTAATCAATATTTATAAAAATTGCTGGGCAATTGCGGTGGGACACTTAATAACTAAAAAAATAACTCAAACCATTTTGTAAATACTAAAACTGGCAGAAGCTGTGTGGACCACACACACATGATATTACCCAAACTTTCAACAAGTGTAACACAATTTTAAAATATATACATCTCACAACAACAGAATCTTAAAGCGGCTCATTAACCCTTATATAGAAAATGAGTATTTCACGAAGATTAAATCTTTTAAGAAATACTCACATTGACTCTGCAGGAATTTTATTGAAATTCCAACGCAATCAAAAGATATACGGAGAAAAATTAACCCCTAGATAGCAGAAGTAGTCCCTACTTTGTCTCAGTATATATTTTGACTGTGTTGGAGTATTTTTCCTACGATTGGCCAGCTTGACAAAGGGAGGTTGGGTTCTACAGAGGACCCCATGGACCTCCATAGATCTCAAATGCGCAAGGGTACAACGCGGACAACTGTTCCTGGCAGCTGAAACGGAGGGATGGAAGGTCATGGTAGTGCTCACACTAAACAGGTTCAGGTAAGTAAACCCTACCTTCCCCTGCTCTCCCATAGCCACCTGGCCCTCAGCGAGGATTTTATTGTCAGGGGTATTGGCAAAGTTTTCGTTACCTTTACTACAATTAAGAATCTTCATTATTCATTGTTCCTGATCCTGTAGTGTTAAAACCACCATTTAGGTGGCTTCCCCCCCCCACCCCCCCTTAACCCTCTTAACAGGTAATAAACTTGCCTGATTTTAAACACTGCCTTTTCCTTCATTACCCCTATTTATACCCGTTGTGCCACTATATCCCACTCCCTCTAGCATGTAAGAGCAGGGCCCTAAACCTCTCTGTTCCTGTGCGTCCATTTGTCTGGTTACAATTACGTGTCTGTTAGTCCACTCATTGTATAGTGCTATGGAATTTGATGGCGCTATATAAATAATAAAATAATAATAATAATACATGAAAATGCCTGCAGGGAATGAATATACTCACCAGAACAAATACATTAAGATGTTGTTGTTCAGGTGACTTTAGTGTCCCTTTAAAAAAATAGCATATACCAGCAGGTACAAAATTGTGATGAGAATGTGCAGGGGTAAGGGGGGCGTCGGTACCCAGTCAGTATGCCAACCTGCCAGAACTTTTCTTGTGTACAGCACTACAAAATGCCCTACACTTGCTTTGTTGGTTACCATTTGAGGACTTCTCCCCCGAAGTAGGACAACATGGAAAAAAAAAATCAGGACTCTTTGGCTGTATCTCGGACAGATGGGTGGCCGAATACCTGAGTTAAAGATTTTTATTTTAGCTCTGTCCGCTCTGGACAAAGCTAAAACAAAAAAAATCTTCAGTTCAGCTATTTGTTAAGCGTGGCTATTTTGGCTTACATTTTGCAATAATGGGATCAATTCTCTAAACAAGTGTTGTGGTGAGTTGAGAAACGACTTGCAAAATGCAGGCTTAAAAAATGCTAATGCAGCATGATTAGAGAATTTATTCTCTGGTATATTGGTCAATTCTCAACCTGCTAATTGGCGGGTACACCCCAGTATTGTCAAATAATCCCAATTCACTGTTAAGCAAATGTGCCTCCAACAGGGTTATTAACCAAAAGGGAGAATTTCAAGTTGAAGGTCAAAAAAAATTCTCTAAGCCACATATGCTTTCAGTTCAGACACTATAGACTTATATATGAAATTCACATTCAATTCTCACTTTGGTAAATAACCTTGTTAATGTTTTGAAGACGTAAATGTAATAGGGCAAAAGAGGGAAGAAAGAAAGTAAGTACATTCATTTCATATGTTTGGATAAAACATACTTGGAGAGAGCTCTGCTTTAAAAGCAGGCTTGGAATATTTCCCTCACTGACTAACCCATAAAATACACACTAAACATGGTTTAATGCCAAGAATATCACACGAGGAATGGAAGATTCCATAGATCCAGCGTAAACGCTTAACTGCGATAAATGAAGAGTGCGCTCTACTAGTTACACATACTCTCCATCTCCATGAGCAGATCCTGAAAATATTCACATACCATAGTATGAATGACACCATTTATGCGTGTTCTGCAGAGCTATACATCGCCCAGGTCAGCGTCAACCCCTTCTTTGGGGGAATTGGAGACACAAAAATGTTACTTTGTTCAACACACAGTGAAATATAAAGAGCTGACTTGCAAGATTTAATCTAAAATATCTGACAAATAGAATTCCATCTCAATTAGTTTGGCCTGTATTTTGCATTTCAGCTGTCGACTCTCTTTGTCTGCGCTAACTGCAAGTCCTGCAGGCTAATATTATTATAAAAGTGATGATTTCTCACGACATTGTTATAAATATCTTCAGGAGCTCCACTCAGCTGTCATGCAGACAGCTGTAAGGGATTCAGACTCATTTACTTTGAACTGCAGTTTAAAGAGATAGTAATTGCTTCTCACAGAGAAGCATCAAATTCAGTAGTTGCGCATGCTAATATGAGAAGCGTCTGCGTGGATCCATGCTATCAGTATTGACGACTGCACAAAAGGCAGAACGGAGCTGCAGCAGGGAGACTCTCCCAGAGATGGAATAAAGGTAAGTTTGGATTTTTCTGTACTTTTTTTATTTAGAAATGGGGGTGGGGTCAGTATTCCAAACACATTAAAAAGCATATCGAATTATATATATATATCCAATTAAATATATTTATATATTTATCTATATATAGTTTGCTTTTGCGTACTTCTTCAACTTGTTCAACAGTATGAAGGAAAACGCTTGTAAGAAAAATGGCTAACGTTATGCTTCAGAAAAACGCAACATGGTACGATATGGAAACATTTGGAATATTTGAATATACAAAATGTGGAATAAATAAAATAAATATTGAAAGTACATTTAAACAGAATGCTGTCTCTCCCACGTACAAGCACAAAGGAAGGCAGACATGATCCAGCGCACAGCTCTGCGTTCAAATCTCACGAATGTGCAAGATTCCTGGAAGCATTTGCCTGTTGCCAATTCATAAACTCCTGCCTTATAGTTATGCAAAATGAATAAAATGGAATGAATGCTTCTAAGATTAAATGTCGACATTCCGGAGAGAAAAAAAAAATCTCTACAATTTGCAATACAAATTTCTAATAGATACACATATATCTATTTTAGCATTAATTCTGGAGCTCAGTTTTCAATTGATCAGAGTTCCTAGAGTTGTAAATAGACTTTGAAGGATTATCTAAAAATGCCCTCTCAAAGTGACATTTCAAATAAAAAACACTATTTAGTAGATTTACCGCCAATGAAAACATGTTTACATTTAATTATGCATTTCCTCACTGGGAGTATATCTAAAAAAACAGCTTGCATAACCTGCAGATTGCGTCTGCTGCCTTTGCAAGCCCTCCCCTTCTTACCCCGCCCAGACTTTCTGTGGCTGTCCAATCACAGACTTCCCAATGCAGCTCGACGAGAAGTCTTTAGAGGCAGCAATTGCTCTGGGCAATTGCTGCCTCTTGAGTTTAGCTTCACTGAACTAAATAATCCGAAAGTAACAGAACTGGCAGTCTGATTGACAGCCATCGTGATGTAACAAGGTCCATTTATAAAAATGTCAATTTCAATTAAGATCTGCATTATTTCTAAAATACACCTTCAGCAAACAAAAGTGCTTTAGGTGTTTGGGGTGTCCCCTTATTTTTTTTAATTTAATTATTTTTTGAACACTTTGCACAACATACAAATATTGAGGAAATAAATATAAATATTAAATATAAGAGGAAAGTGGCTTATTTTAATTTCAGGTTCATCATCGCATGAGCTATAACAGGGATAGGCAACCTTCGGCACTGCAGATGATGCTTTGCCAGCATTGTGGGATATGTAGTCCACATCATCCGGAGTGCCAAAGGTTGCCTACCCCTGAGCTATAATATGACTGCATAACCCGTGTGATGGCTTGCTTCCATCAAAGGAAGCCAGACATGTTTTGGACCCACCAAGAGGCCATGCTGTCTATGAATTGGATGGGCACCATTTTATCATAAGAGTTGCTGGATTGTCCAATCATGGACAGCAAGTTATGGTCCACTAAGGCATTAGCTGCAATTAGGAAATGGAAAATGAGTATCAACTAAGATCCGGGAGTCCATTTGGAAGCATAAAAAATAGAAATTGGCACCCAATGTTACTCAATAAAAGCTGTCAGTGACGTGTGACAACAGTTCTGCCATGTGTAAATTATAGAACCAGATTATTTCAAGCATCTCAACATTTATCAGCAGCCCATTTAGATAAATGGGCTAGTCTTGTTGGTGCCCAGTACCATGTATGTATCCGTTTTCAGATCAATTGTAAATTTGGTAAATTTGTAGTAAGATCTTTATGGATACTCTATGCTTTGGTGTCTCTTGCTTTATTTGTTTAATTACACGTCTTCTTTAAAGTCCACATGCGATGTGGTTCCAGATAAAGGTCAATTGATCCACTTAATGATTTTTGAATGCTTATCATGTTAATTTGTTCTTTCAAATAGCCGTTGGGCACATTCCAGAGATTCCCACATTCCTATACCAGGTTAGTCTTTACCAGTTTCACTGGAAGGTAGTTCCAGGCAATAACTACCCTTTCTGTAAAGGGTATGTTTACACAGTCCCCTTGGCCTTCCATCACTAATCTTAAAATGATGCCTTGTTGTTCTGTGAATTATGAAGAGATTAAACAATGATTTAGCCTTATAACTTCAAAGCATTCCTTCTTGTTCTGAAGCCAAAGCAACCTTCTTCAGCTTTTGTTAAAGGGACAACATAAGCACTAATACAACCACCACTTCTCGTGTATAAGCATCCTCTGTCTCTGCAATTTACTGCTCATAAGAGGAGAATCTACTATACAAAAAATAATACTAGTGAGTCACTTCCAGTTTGGAGTGTCCCATTTAATCTATTAACGTATTTGAGTGTGTCACTTTACATCATTCCTTCTTCCCTCCGAGTAAGTGGTGTTAAATTAGCACTCAAATCAGCTTGCTGAAGTGGTTATGGCGTATGATTCCCATGATTCTATGAATGAAATAGGTAGGCTGAGAATCATGGGAGTTGTAGTTCAGCAACATCTGGAGGGCCAGAGCTTGGGGAAGCCTGGTGTAGAGTGTTCCAGCACAATTTCCAAGTTTACGCCAGCGCTCAACACCGACCCAGAGACCCAGAGACCGCCTACTCCTCTGTCACACTATAACGTGGATTTAAGTCAGTTTTGTCCGACCAAGGCAGCCGTGATTGGCTGAGACGGCAGGTTATGGATTAGACCAGCACGCACAACCAGAGATCAGAAAAGTGACAACAGAAAATAAAATCAGGACTGTTCCACTGGATCCATTACTACTGACGTGTAAAATTCTCACAAATAACAGTACTGTCGCTTTGATTAAAAAACTATTGCAGTGTATTGTAATACTGAATCGATCTGTAAAGATAAGGCACATTCATATCTAAGTAAGCTATGACACTGATAAATCATAAGGAGCAGCTATAGAAGCAGGGGTACTAGGGATACATAGTAACTGTGTCATAAGAAAATGGATAGACAATATTGGAGCAATAAAAAAAAAAAAAAAGGCAAAAATAGAAAAAGCATGATATAGCATGAAAATAATGGTTAGTAAGTCTGTATAGAAGGCGTAAGTGGCCAGTATGAAAAGGCCTCAAACTAATTCAGTATAGCTGTGCTATCTGATTTTCTTGTACTGTTGTTGCAGTACAAATCTCATACAAAGGTGTTGCATGAAAGTGAATTCCAAATTTAAGGCCAAAGTAACCAAACCAGAAGCATAGATGAGTTGGAGAATTTTTCCAGTTCGAATACTTTGTTCTTAAATGAGACATTTACATAATTGACTTTGCATTCTCGACAGTTCTCAATTCAGTGAATAACCCTCAGGCTGTTTATATTTGATACACTGAAAATATGACGGTCACCAAGCTTTCCATTTAAAATGTTAATACCTAAAAGGAGTAAGTCAGCAATGTGTTCTGTATTAGCCTAAAATTGTTTAAATCACTTTGAATTCCCAAAACGTCCCACTTTCGTTAATAACCTTGTTTGAACTTAAAGACTAACTCTGCTGATCTCCATGTGAAATCTCAGGAATAGATTGAAATGGCTTTGCATTGTGTAATTTACTCCTTTAACATAGTTTATCAGCAGGCATGTATAAGGTATTTGTGTTTTTATCAGCTACTAACACCTGGAAAGTGAAGGCTTGGGTGGGGTCTCTTTAATTAGCAGCAGTATCTCCTTCACTCTATGATATAGAAATGTTTGGATTAAAGGTAATAAGAGGTTGATTAATAAAGCCATACTCAGTGAATGAGCAGAAGGAGATATAAGTAAATGAATTCCCACAGTTGCTGTTTTTCAGGGGAGATTACTCCATTTGTTTTGGGCAGATATACTGGTTGGCAGTTCGACTGTTGCAAGAAGCCAATTTATTACTTTGCATTCCATTAATAAAACAATGAAGATCAGAACCCATGCTTGTGGCATTTAATTTACATTATATTAAAAATACTGCATGCGTAACGCATTTATATAATACATGGGAGAAAAATATAACCTCACAATCTCAAATATGCGTCTTGCTTATTTTGGACAACTCTGCAGGTATTATTCAACACAACATAGTTAATTTTTGCACATAATTGACAACATACGTCATGTGTTGGGAGTGTAACTAGCCCCTGGCACAAAGTGCATATTTCTCTGCACATAAGTCACGTGTGTCGGGGGTGTAACTAGCCCCTGGCACAAAGTGCATATTTCTCTGCACAGCCAATTATTACAGTACCACCATGACTGCTTCTAAAACCAGGATTAGACCTGGAGGTTGTAGTAACTCTTAAAGGGACACTATAGGCACCCAGACCACTTCAGCTCATTGAAGTGGTCTAGTTGACAACTCCCTTCACCCTTAACCCTAGAGTGGTAATTATTGAAGTTTTTATAAACTGCAATAATTACCTGATAGGTAATTACCTGACAGAGGGACTTTGGCTTCTTAGATGATTTTTGGTCATCTAAACGAGGACCTCCAGCATCACCCATAACCACATCGGAAAGCATTGAATAATGCTTTCCTAAGGGGAGATCCTAATGCGAGCACAGCCATTGCCACGCATAGGCATTAAGTCTCCCTTGCCGGCACACAAGGAGCGTAGGGGGAGCTCAGTTAATAACCCCTTCAGTGCCACGGAAGGGGGCCTTGACAAAGGAGGAAGCTATAGTGCCAAGAAAACTAGTTTGTTTTCCTGGCCCATAAGACCGTTCCCATTCATACATCTTATGAATCCAGTGTATCTGTGTGCTGTATGGGTACAGACTTACGGGCCACCCTCTTGTTTACCTTTAAAGTGTGACCTGCAGGAAATTACAAGTAAATTCAGGGGAGTTTTAAATTGATTTCATTTTACATTCAGGATTATTTGCTAAAATGTGACGTTTTGGTAATTCAAAGTAAATTTCCCATTTTAGGTAAATATATAAAAACTCTCCATGCCAACAGCTATTTTGTCAAAATTTAAACTACTCTTTGAATTCATCATAAATTACCAAATATTCACATGTTAGTGGACAGCCCTGTATCTCCCCTTCTCTGTGCTTTTGAGCCCCGGTAATATGATAAGAACAATAATAATAAATGACTTAACCAGGGAGTTTTTGAGACTTCATTAGGTCTTGTTACCTTTACACAAATGAATGGGGCTCATTTGATTGCCTTTTGAAGCAAGACAGTATGAATTTATTCTGCAGTAACTGAATCTATAGCTTTAAGAAATGCTAGAGGTTATGATGTTGGAACACTAACCACTGAACTATCTCACCAGATTTTGTCCAAACTACCCACAAAGGATTATCATTCAAATAATCTTTGAATTATTAGGACAGCTGCCTCTTTGGAGTTCTGAGAGCAATATATAGAGAGGACTTGTAAAATAAATCTGCCTTTCTATCCACTATAAATAACCATTTATTTCAAAGATCTCACTGCATCTGAATGATATCACAGTGCAGTATTGTGTCAAATTGGAAAACCGCTATGTTTTCACCTATTATGCTGGTTGATACAGTCAAGAGCGACAAAGTAACAGAAAAGCCTTGTTATAGGGTGAACAGACACATTACACATTATTGTATTGCTTAAATTTGTAAAAGACAGCGATGAATTGACACCCCACTCACAAATTAGCTGAGATGTAAACGTTCCATGATTTCAATTCTCTAATTATAATTTTATCTGTTTATAGCTTAATTTTCAAATCGCCACAATGCACTATTAACAACCTAAATCTGTTTTAAAACATCACCATAACACTGATTTATAGAAATGACACATTTAAAAAAAAAAAAAAAGCCAGAGATTTTTTTTTGTTAAACCTGTTTTGTTAAAATTGTGGAATATTAATCTGGTAACTGCATATTTAAGATACAAGTAGCTGAATCAAGATAATTGGTTCTACAGTTTGATTATTTTGGTCTTAAATTCGCTTATCACTTTCCAATACCTGGTCTAGTGGATAATCATAATAGAAAAATAATGAAAATAGAGGAAATCTCCGGTGCTAATTTAGGGGACATCTGTTAGGTATACGTAATTCATATCGAATCTCTATTTTAAATTCAATAATTGTGAACCCTTGGAATTTAGAATCTACCAAAATATCTTAACTCCTGACATTTTTCTCTACTGCATAGAATGAGCAATACATTAGCTTAAGTCAACACTGTCATAAACAGAACAGACCACCCACAGGACTATTCACTAGAAGGAATAATTGTAGTGAATTAATAACTATGTTGCTAAAAAGAGTAGTGTTTGCATGGACCAGACTTCCAGCTGAAATTGCCTGTTCTTATTATGGCAAGCTTTAGTGCCCCAGATGTTTGAAAACCAGCGGAACGGCTGACAAATCACTAAGGGAAAGGTTTTTCACAAACATCTGGTGTTCCAAATAATATTAAATACCAGAAGCATGCATTAATTTTGCTGGGTTCCAACAAAAAAAATCAATCTTGAAATTTAAAAAAAAATTGGTTGAAGCACAGACAAATATTTATAATGAAAACCACACAAAATGAATGCCCAAACAGCCGGCCAACAAGGTGTATTTTTGCAACTATTCCCTCCTGTGCTTTATCGTATTTATACCAGGGGTGGTCAACCTGCGGCTGGCTGGTCATGATGAGAACGGCAGACCTACAACAGATGAGAAGCCTCAAGTTTGCTGCCCCTGATTTATACTGTGCCAGTTTGTTCCACTGGGAGATACATAGGAGGAGAATTGCATCCAAAGGGCAAATATTTATGCAACATGATGAAAAATCTTCAGTCTGGTTGCCAGCAACATCAACCCGTGGTCTAATTGAGTTCTGATTGTAGACAAGCAGGGACCCTGTTTATCCTTCAGTTGGCAGATTGAGGTCTCTCATAAAGCTGGACGTACTTTCCAAGTCATTTTTGAAACATTAACGTTTTATGTAACAGTAGTTCCACCCCAATCCGAAAGCCCTCAGAGATTATCTGCTACTTTGTAAACAACCTGTAACAGTATATTTGACTTCTGTTACAGTAGAAGATTTGATGAGACCACAGTTTGTGTAATAAACTTCCAGGTACACATACAATGGCATGCTCGAGTCACGACACTCCCATGCATATTGCCTCTTATATAGAAGTATTCAGGTGGTTATTTCGATCATCACTTACAACACAAACTGTTAATTAAATAGGATCACAGCACACTCGTCCAAAAAAAAAAAAAAAAAGCTCTTTCTACACTGCAGTCCCATCTACTACCATTCTACTAAACCATATGAATGTCCCAGCTCCATGATATTTTTGAGTATTCGATCACAACACCAGAGGCATCATAAAAAGTACTTCTAATTTACAGAATGGTGGAAAGGTTGGGGGTCAATGCTTAGCACATGTCTGATATACAGTCCATGCAAAAGAAGTTCAACTAATGAATGAACTAGGGTAGTCACGAGATTGGCAGCTTGGGTGAATTAACTATATAGAAGAGTGGTAGGCAACCTTCAGCACTCCAAATGTTGTGGACTACATGTCTCCTGACGCTTTGACAACATTATGGCTGCAAAAGCATCATGGCCAATGTAGTCCACAATATCTGGAGAGGCAAATGTTTGTCAAGTGGCTTTTTTTTTTACCTACTCTAAGCATGTTCTTACTTGGCAGTCTCTATGTACATATTGCTTTTACAATCAGTCTGCATTGACCAGGGACCTTAAATAAATAAATGCGTGACCCCATAAGGGTGTCTATTTAATAATGTTAGAAGCCACAATTGGTTATCTCACACATTGACACAAAAGGATTACGCTCAAACTGACAAACCCATATCACATTACAGCACAATACAGTTTCAGACCAAATTAGTCAAACTGGAAAAATTCTCCCACTCAGCTATTTTTCCATCTCAACTACTTTGGCCTTAATTCTGCAATAGTCCAGTTAACTTTTATGAGCATTCTTATACAATTAAAGTGTCCGGAAGTGAATTTCAAATTTAAGACCAAAGAACTTGAACTGGAACAAAGCTGACACTTTTAATTCACTTTGGATTCTCACTTTACCACTAACATTCAAAGTGAATTAAAAGTGTCAACTTCGTATAACTCTTTAAGTATTAGGGTAACAGCACACAGATTACTATCTTTGAGAGAAAATCTAAATAACTGAACTCCACTGTATTCAATAATCAATTTGATTGGTAGAGAATAACCCCCATGTCTCTTGGTTCTAAAGGGGATGCCATCAGGAGCTGATTCATTCTTAGATAACCTTGATGTGAGCTACCACATTGACACTTTCCTTTCTAGAATGTAAACAAGTGAAAATTCTGGTTGAACACAGATGACAAAGCATAGGAATAACAATAACATATTGTACCATGAAGGACACATTTAGATTTCTCAGTAGGGTCATGGGGTTTAAATGTTATTACCCAACTCAATTACACATATAAATCAATCCTATAAGAAACCAAGCCTGCAATGCTGAGGTTTGGGCACACGCAGAGCATCAACTCTTCCAACGTGCTGTGCTGGTGCACACATTCCTTGTGGTTACCATTAAAGACCTAATGTTAGGGTGGCCAAAAGTTAAATCCTCATCTGCTGTAAAACTACAACCCCCCACGATGCTTTGCAAGCCCACCTATATTAAATTCGATCTATGCAAATGTAAAGATTGGAAGAAATTATATTTAAAAATAAGTCCCTCCCCACCTGTCAATCAATTCTTCTGCATAGAAAAGGCATAGATAGATCTCTATGACAAAAAACTGACAGACATCAAGAGCAGGAGGACCCTCTTACAGGGGGGTCTAGCTGCTCTGTGGCTGCGCCCGCCCTGTGCTCAGTATGGTAACTTTCTGGCCATTGCATTTAGTGCTGACTAGATGAGTATAGGATTGTAGTAACTGATGTCACACTGTTCTGATGTCATCACACTGGCAATGAAGCCTGCGTGTTGGTTTCATACAAGAGAACTTCCCTCCCTGGAAAAGTCTCAGCAATGACATATCTAAGGAGTGACCAATGGCGGCAATCATGGCGGCACTGGTAAGTAGTTTAATAATCTCTAAACTGTACATTGATATTATAATTTACACGTGACAAATCATATATTTAGATCTTAAAGGGGCTCAGGTTAAAGTGAACCTGCCATGAGAAACACAGTATTGTCAGGAACACAAACACGTAGTGGTAAAATTACTATTTTGGCCCCAGGCCCCTCTCTCTTTACTTTAAAAAGGTGATTTTACTTGCTTTTTTTCCAGGGCCGCGCACGTCTTGCTGCGGCCAGCCCCGCTTTGCTCTGCCACCAGTGATGGCTGTAGGAAATTGGCTGTGTCTACGGAGGATCCTGCGGTCTCGTGGGATCCTCCATAGACCTCAATGCTGTACTCTCGTACATGCGCAAGAGTACAGCAGAGGCGTCGGCTCCTCAAGTGGAACTGCCGGATCAAGATGGCTGCGTCTGCGAGGGACAGATTCAGGTAAATCTCACCTTTACCCGTTTTCCCCTGCCACTGGACCACCAGCAGCAATGCCACCTTCAGGAGTCTTTGCTAATTCTGCAAAGTCCTTAGACAGTGACAGTGTCGCTTTAAGCTGTATTCTGGTGACTATAGTGTCCTTTTAATATTGAGGTGGCCTCCTTAGTAAGTCCAAATAGTAATCACAGGATGAGGCCTATAAGTGTTATTCAAACTATGGAAGGCATCATATAGTTTAAACCACATCATAATGGGGTAAAATGTCTAATAAAAGGTAAAACTCCAGTAATGATCTGCTCACACAGACTAATAGCACATATGTACTACTTCTTCCACAGTTCAAAATACAAAGGAAATTAGACTACTGGGACAATATAAATGTGATTATGTGAGAAATCATAAACAGTTAATATTTTACTGTTATGCGATATTATAACCATTCTATTACAGGAAAACAAAATGGCTGCATATTCATGAGAAAAACTGCTAACTGAAATAAGGCAATCACTAGGGAGCCAGTCACTATTAGCTATCTGCCTCTCGTAATCCTGCATTTAGATCACTTCTACACGTGAAAATGGCACATTCCCTGCTGGGATAAGTCATTTTATTTTCCCCATTAATTCAGTGTTTGAAGCTGCAGAAAAATGTACGGAGGGGGAGTGGGTAGACGGATTGGATTAATTGGGTGAAAATTATTTTTTTTTAATGCTGCAATCCGTACTCTGTGCATCTTTAAATTACACGTATAGAGATATCCGTTCTGAGAAAACAAAATTGCATATAAACAACAGGCTTTAAATATATGCAAACCAAATAGCTCTTGAGCAGACTGCTAAACAAACCCTTAACAGCACCACGAGGAGTTAACGAAACGGACAAAAAGTGCAGAATAAAGCATCCAACCTTTTTTTTTAATTGAAATTTAAATTACATATTATACAAAATGTGAGTGATTCGTCGGTATACCTAACAACCCTCCAACTTTTAGAGGCACATTTGGGAAGTAAAGTGGAAAACTCTTGGCCTTATAAACTGCCATGTGATGGCCATGGCTGAATTTAGACGTGAAGGCCAAGCACGATTTAGGCCAATTCCTTGTCAATCAGAACCCTCTGATACATAAAACACCAATCCAGGGCCAAATCCAGTATGTTCTGTTAATCGGTAAATAAAAAATAGCCGAGTTTCAGGCAATTCCTGAACACGTGAATACATTGATCCAATTCACTGGGGTACACATGGCCCTCTTAAAATAGTTAATTTCTGATTTTTTCCAACTAAAGTCAGATTAATGTGTGATCAAAATATGAAGCAAAACGATTATGTTTGTCATGAAATTGGACGGTAGGTGTTGGCACATCACCAATAAAGAGAGACAGCAATCATAATACCAACATGGCAACTGGCTCACATTTCTAGAAAGATGTCAGAAAAGCATGTAAAGTGAAATAAATACATACTAACCGATAGAAACCGAGTGTACGGCGGGTGGGGAGGGCTCACAACACATACAACATGTCCCAAAATATATCCAAATAAAAGCACGCTCTGTGATGGTTTCTGAGTTAGAAAGCACAGCATTCTCTGTGCACCAATGCTGTCTCGCAAGCACCATGTGCTCTGCTAGAAGCCATACTCCCTTCGTTCAAAGAATACATCAAATGCAATATAAGAAAACCGATAGAAAAAGCACAGTACTGCTTGTTTGCTTTTCAATTCAAACAGCATGCGAACAGGTCTCCATGTTTTGTTTTTTTCAGGGTTTTTTTTTTTTTAGTTTCATTATCGATTAGTACAGTATACTCAGCAATACAGCACAGTCGAGAAGAAAAACATGTATAGACACATCCTGAAGTGTACAGTCCGTACACTGACAGGGGGATCAGCTCGAGCACATTGTACTGTAAAGGCTAATTGCCTCTCAGCAGTAGAAGCTTAGCCAGGCCATAGACAGGAAGGGGGAAGGGCACATGTGCTTTGACATTAAAAAAAAAAAACAACAAAAAAAACACAACAACAAAATCAGAATAAGAAAAACATTAAAGATAAAGAAATAATAGCTTTCAGCAAAACGTAGATTTATATTATTTTTAAAAAAACACACATTTTCTGTTCAGCTCAAATTTTTCACTTTTGGACAAACACACCACACGTTATCTTCCAAGGAGGTAGAAATAAAAACATTTGTAGCAAATAAGTCCAATGACAATTTAAGCCAAATCGATAAAGTTAAACTTAACGGGAATCTGGCCCTTAAATTTCAGGAATTACATATTTTTGGCAACCTTCATCGAAATCAATGTCCAGTTTAAGCAGAAACGGACCCAAAATGAAGATGAATACTTACCCACTAATGTCACAAGCAGTGTGTCCAAGTAATCCACTGGGAAATAAATTTGGGGTACGCTGGGATCATCCATTTCCAATGGGGAAAGCTGCAGTTCAGATTCCATGTGCTTGCAGCACGCGTTCAGCTCAATGGAACGTTCTGCTGTCGAAGTGAGTCGACAGACGTCACAGGAGCAAATAGACAGAGAAAAACATACACACCCCCTCCTCGCTCACTCACATGCTCTGCTCTCAATAGTCTGATGGGATGCTGCAATACAATCACATACAATGTATCAGTTGAAGGGGCAGATATCTGCATCCATTCTATTCTTAATATTAATCCCACACACTGTTTGAAGCAGAGGGTAACTCAGAGAGACAGAGCTCTTAGCTTCTTGCTGCAGGAGAAAGCAGCAGTTTCTGATACAGAGGCTCAGAGGAGTGGAGGAGGGGTTCTGGGGAAGTCAAGATTTTAACACTGTAGCTATGGACTGTAGGGAGGGGAGTATACCTGGCTGAAATCATCCTTGCTAAGACTGGATCTCTGCTCAGTCTGTCATTATATTATTAATAACATTGTATATCTTAACATGCCAACATATAAAGTATCGCAGTACAATTTATACATGAGTGGTGACAGGCAAATGTGTTCATGGCTGCTTTAGTTGCTGTTGGCACTCTATATTAGGAGTAATAATTTACAGAATTTATAATTTACAATTGAAATAGATTTTCTTTTGCAGACAGCAAACAAAATCCACAGGAGGAGTGTTTGAAAATTGTTGGCGAAAGCTGTTTTTTCAGAAGTATAGAATGCACCGGATAGTTAGAAGCAATTTAGTATTTATTTGCAGGAATTTAGTAGACTTAATTTCAATTCGTCTGAATTTTGGCTGATCGGTAAATCATCCAAAATCCGTAACTGCGAAGTGTCCTATGGACGTATAACGAAACAGTCACACAAACAATAGGTTTGCTAGCTCTGTGATTTAATATTCCTATTGTAGCACAAAAAAAGAGAGATGATTGATGGTTAATGGACAGCCACTTATCAAATTAATAAATAATCAAATAAATAAATAAAAACTCACCCAGTAAGCTTAAAATACGGTAATTAATGCTCAAAAATAACTATATGCTCAAATGTGGACTGAATTTGAACGATAAATGGATTCAGACCAGAATAAGCTTTATTAACTCTTTCCTGATGTTAGAGAATCCCATGCCATTCTACAAAAGCAGGGCTTTAACGTAGAGCACGATCTCGTCCTCCCTCAAGCCTAACTAATTACCCCAAGACTGTGTTTATATATATATATATATATATATATTATGGTTGGATAGACATATAGCTCAAATTCTAGGTTTTGTTTTGGTTCAGACAATTGCCTCGGTCATAAAAGGCTTAGATAGTGCAAACATGTACTGCAAAATATTTATCCATATACATACGTGGATGAGATTCAGATGATCAAAACTGCAGAAACTGTAAAATAGGGTCAACCAAATAAAAATAGAAAATAAAAAAAATTGTTCTGAATCGATTCAGCCAAATATAATTTTTCTGCCGTGCATTTAGACTGTAAATACTGAAACGATAATTTAGACCAGAATTGACCTCAATTCTTTTAAAGCAGATATTTTGCAAACACCCTTGGAAGTGCCATTTCTCCTTTTGGTGTGTGGTGTCAAAGGGTGCAGTAGAAGTTAGTCATAGTTACCTGAAACAACCTTGCACGATCGCCGCTATCTTCTTCCTGCGGACCTTCTTCAGATCATGTGGTTTAATCTGTCAGTCTAAGGGCAGTCCAGGGCGAATGCAGGAGCTTCAATCACTATGAAATACTAAGAGGTGATAGAGATGATTTAATACATTAGATAACAATATAAATAATGCACTTAAACAATACGGAAAAAAAAAAAATGTTTTCAATTAAAAAAAAAGCTAACAATTTAAATTATGACATTTTTAACAATCCCAAATCTTTGTGGCTTTTGCATTAAATTCTCACCAAACCAGGAAGTAAGCAGCATGGTGTTTGACACTGCATTTCAGTTCTATTCAGCTTACAGACAGTTTAGAATTCGAGCTGGAGACAAATATGAGTGACCATACATGTACACAGCATAGATCAGATTTGCACACGGTAAGTTGTGGGAGAGCCTATTAAAGTAGGAGGGGACTTGAAAGAAATATGTACCTACCTCCCTGAGGGAATGAGCTTGTATATTGCAGAAAGTTTTCAATTCACTTCTATTATAAGCACAATTTTGTGTACCCCCTACACCACAGCCCCAACCCCCTTATACTACAGCCCCAAGCCCCGTACACTATAACCCTAACTCCCTTAATTATTGCCCCTATTTCTCCACATTGCATCCCATCACACCCCCTATCATCTACAAACGCACACATTACTGCTCATACCTCCATAAACACTATAGCCCCTATCCTGCCATGCACACACCCTACAGCCTCTATTCTCCCATAAGCATGCTACAACCCTTATCCCCCCTCACCACAAACACTACAAATCCTACCCATACACAGACAAAAGCATTGCTCAATCCCATTGCTCAATCCCACAAGGAGGGTGACCCAACAAGCTAATGTCCCTCTTCACTTATGTCTCCACATATATTCAACACCACAAGCTTTGTCCCCACACATACCACTAGCATACACTTATGTATGCACGCAAAAAATAAAAAAATAAAGAGTCAATTGAAAATTGTGCAAGATGGGAGTAACATGGGAAATACCCATTTACTATTTTGTCTATACTACAAATACTATATTTCAAATCCAGGTTGAATTTCCAACAATAACCACTTTTTTAAAAATGTTAGGAGGTATTGGATGAGTGTATGTGGCCAGGAAGGGCGCTGTAGAGATTTTTTGCACAAGGTAAGTAAGAGTGTGCTGGGCTTCCTCTGCACATTCTATGCCACCGGACCACCAGGGAATGCCATACCTCCCCTTTCTAGCTAGGTAAGAAGCAGGGAAGGGGGACTAAAACATAATTTAAAAAAATAAAATATTAAAATATCATGCTATACCACCCTCAGTGTCTTGGTCAATATATAATGATAGGAGTCATGCTATGCCACCCTCAGGGTCTGGGTCAATATATAATGATAGGAGTCATGTTATGCCACCCTCAGTGTCTGGATCAATATATAATGATAGGATGCATGCTATCCCACCCTTAGTGTCTGGATCAATATATATTGATAGGAGTCATGCTATACCACCCTCAGTGTCTGGGTCAATATATAATAATAGGAGTCATGCTATACCACCCTCAGTGTCTGGATCAATATATAATGATAGTAGTCATACTGTACCACTCTCAGTGTTTGGATCAATATATAATGATAGGAGTCATGCTATACCACTCTTAGTATCTGGATCAATATATAATGATAGGAGTCATGCTATACCACCCTCAGTGTCTGGATCAATATATAATGATAGGAGTCATGCTATACCACCCTCAGTGTTTGGGTCAATATATAATGATAGGAGTCATGCTATGCCACCCTTAGTGTCTGGTTCAATATATAATGATAGGAGTCATGCTATACCACCCTCAGTGTCTGGGTCAATATATAATGATAGGAGTCATGCTATACCACCCTCAGTGTTTGGGTCAATATATAATGATAGGAGTCATGCTATACCACCCTCAGTGTCTGGGTCAATATATAATGATAGGAGTCATGCTATACCACCCTCAGTGTCTGGATCAATATATAATGATAGGAGTCATACTGTACCACTCTCAGTGTTTGGATCAATATATAATGATAGGAGTCATGCTATCCCACCCTCAGTGTTTGGATCAATATATAATGATAGGAGTCATGCTATGCCACCCTCAGTGTCTGGGTCAATATATAATGATAGGAGTCATGCTATACCACCCTCAGTGTCTGGATCAATATATAATGATAGGAGTCATGCTATGCCACCCTCAGTGTCTGGATCAATATATAATGATAGGAGTCATGCTATACCACCCTCAGTGTCTGGATCAATATATAATGATAGGAGTCATTCTATACCAACCTCAGTGTTTGGGTCAATATATAATGATAGGAGTCATGCTGTACCACCCTCAGTGTTTGGATCAATATATAATGATAGGAGTCATGCTATACCACCCTCAGTATCTGGATCAATATATAATGATAGGAGTCATGCTATACCACCCTCAGTGTCTGGATCAATATATAATGATAGGAGTCATGCTATACCACCCTCAGTGTCTGGATCAATATATATTGATAGGAGTCATGCTATACCACCCTCAGTGTCTGGATCAATATATAATGATAGGAGTCATGCTATACCACCCTCAGTGTCTGGATCAATATATAATGATAGGAGTCATGCTATGCCACCCTCAGTGTCTGGATCAATATATAATGATAGGAGTCATGCTATACCACCCTCAGTGTCTGGATCAATATATAATGATAGGAGTCATGCTATACCATCCTCAGTGTTTGGGTCAATATATAATGATAGGAGTCATGCTATACCAACCTCAGTGTCTGGATCAATATATAATGATAGGAGTCATGCTATGCCACCCTCAGTGTTTAGGTCAATATATAATGATAGGAGTCATGCTATGCCACCCTCAGTGTTTGGGTCAATATATAATAATAGGAGTCATGCTATACCACCCTCAGTGTCTGGATCAATATATAATGATAGGAGTCATGCTATGCCACCCTCAGTGTTTGGATCAATATATAATGATAGGGGTCATGCTATACCACCCTTAGTGTCTGGATCAATATATAATGATAGGAGTCATGCTATACCACTCTCAGTGTCTGGATCAATATATAATGATAGGAGTCATGCTATACCACTCTCAGTGTCTGGATCAATATATAATGATAGGAGTCATGCTATACCAACCTCAGTGTTTGGGTCAATATATAATGATAGGAGTCATGCTATACCACCCTCAGTGTCTGGATCAATATATAATGATAGTAGTCATGCTATACCACCCTCAGTGTTTAGGTCAATATATAATGATAGGAGTCATGCTGTACCACCCTCAGTGTTTAGGTCAATATATAATGATAGGAGTCATGCTAT